TCGTATTCTACGCAGCAAAAGTTGGGTCTGGTTTGTGCCCATTTGATGGACACCCCACCTCCCGCACTGAGCCTCCAGACTAGGAGTTATTGAAAGAGAGAGAGAGAGAGAGAGAGAGAGAGAGACGGGGTTTAACGTCCACGCGACACAAACCAGGTCATTTTGGGACTAACATATGTTTAATTTTATTTCAATAATTCGTTTGTGCGCAGAAGTCTTTAGCAGTGGGGGGAAACTGGAGCTCCCGGAGAAAACCCACGAGACTGGACAGACGAGACTACTCCTTGTCATGTACAACCGGGGAATTGAAACCATGCCAGTTGACTCAATGGCAGACCTTATGATACAACGTGCACGCGCTAACCATTATGGCCATCCATATTAGCTACACTAGTGTGTCATTACGTAATAACTATTTACTCCAACACTAGATATGAACAAGACAAACCTACGGACCGGACACTATATACACCGACACCACCAACCTCAAATGCATGGATCCGGGGTCGTCCCGTGTACTGTGCAGTCCCGAGCCTGATATAGATTTCCCTCAAAATCAAACACAAACTAAACAACAATGGATGAAATGGCAGGGGGGTGGGGTGGCGGTATTTCTCAAACGTTGTATCATACTGGTGGTAGCAGGACAGTTGTTTTTATTTTACTTCCTATATATACTGGCAACATGCAAGTAAATATAATCAAAATGGTGATGTGGATAATAAGTTATTCCTGCCTTAATGTGGATAATAAGTTATTCCTGTCTTAATGTGTATAATAAGTTATTCCTGTGAAAAAAATATGAACAAATTTCAAAAACTCTTATTACCTGTCCAACATGTGCACTTTAAATCATATGGTCTGTCATTGGAGAGAGAGATAGAGAGAGAGAGAGAAATCGGGTTTAACGTCCACTCGACACAAACTAGGTCATTTCGGGACTAACATATGGTTTTTAAATTTTATTTCAATAATTCGCTTGCGCGTAGGGGTCTTTAGCAGTGGGAGGAACCGGAGAAAACCCACGAGGTTGGACAGGCGACCCTATTTCTTGTCACGTACATCCGGGGATTCGAAACCACGCCAGTTGACTCAATGGCATTCGGCCATCCAACCCCACCTGTCTGTCATTGGGGTCAAGTGGCAGTTAATCCGTGATAAGGAGTAAGGTCCCCCCATCTCTCTCTGTCTCTCTCTCTCTCTCCCTCCCTTCCGCCTCTATCCGTGTACGCCTCACTACCCCCCCCCCTGCCAATCTCTGTCTCTCTCTCTCCTCTATTTCTCCCCACAACACGAGTACACATGTAGATCCAAAAGGGTAAAGACAATGGAGTTATATCCCCTTCTATGACTATCGTCAAGACTGCAACGGTGTTTTGTATTAATGTCGGCCAGCCAAAATAAAACACCCTTTTTTAAAAAACCAAACTAATCTTTTTACAGCAAAAGACTTGCATTATAAACTTGATTGATTACACGGATTGTATGTACTTCTCATGAAACAGTGAAACATCCACTCGAAACAAACTCGGTAATTTCGGCACTAACAGTGGGGGGAAAATCGGAGAAATCTCACGAGGTAGGACGGGCGACCTTACTCCTTGTCATGATCAAGCAGGGATTCTACCCCCCCTCCCTCCTCCACAGAGTCGAGATAAAGAGAGGGCTATATATTGTATATTCCCTTTCTTAAAAACCTGTGGTACTGTATTAAGGCTAGGTCACACTTGCCCTGTTGACCACGGTTTAATCAGGTTCCTGTGGTACTGTATTAGGTCACACTTGCCCTGTTGACCACGGTTTAATCAGGTTCCTGTGGTACTGTATTAAGGCTAGGTCACACTTGCCCTGTTGACCACGGTTTAATCAGGTTCCTGTGGTACTGTATTAGGTCACACTTGCCCTGTTGACCACGGTTTAATCGGGTTCCTGTGGTACTGTATTAAGCCTAGGTCACACTTGTCCTGTTGACCACGGTTTAATCAGGTTCCTGTGGTACTGTATTAAGGCTAGGTCACACTTGCCCTGTTGACCACGGTTTAATCAGGTTCTCCCGATTACATCAGACGACATATCATAATCATCTGATATAAATATCGACCATCTTGATTTTTTGCTACGCCTGGTAAAATGTCATTTTGTACCTGATTACCCTGATTTATGTCTGTTGGCGTCCTGATCCTCCCCCTTCAAATCACTATAATGCAAGTACAAATACAAATCTTCAAATACAAAACATTATGACGACATGAGCGGAAATCAACCTGGCATACAATAAGTGACCATACGATAATGGGGAATCGAGAAGAATACAATATACATTTCTGAAAAGGTAAATGTAATTTCGTTTCAGTGGTATTTGGTGTGATATCTGGCCCGTATTTGGACATTTAAAACCCCAACCACCCCCTCCCAATCAATTAATAGAGTTTAATACCATACAATTGTACAAGTTACTTTCTGTCACATTTATATTTACATTGTTTACATACTCTGAAAAAAAAACTTCACGGGCGTCGGGTGGGGGGGGGATATATTTAAAAGTCAAAATACGTGTCTTAATACGAATTTCCAGTTATCGTGATCGTGTATTTCTTCTCCAGAAAGTATTTTGTCTATTGCTCTTTGAATATACGAGTGTTAGCTATTTAATGGCACATTCATGGTTAAATGATTTAGAGATATAAAATCCTCTTTCGTTTGCCTAAAGAAACCTGTCACAATTAAGAAATAACCTAATTACTAAAAACAGTCTACTTTAAATTCATTTTAATTTAATGCTAGATCGGATTGAGGAATATATAAAGAAGCATAACACGCTCGTGATTTGAATAAAGTCACGATCATCGAGCGTTTTTTGTTACTGTATGCTTGCTCGATTCCCGTTGATGGTATGGGGACTTATTGTATGCCAGGTTGATTTCGGCTCAAGTCGTCATATGTTCCGGTTCGATAAATTTCGAAAAATGTTTTTGGAGAAATGTTTCGCAAGATTTGTATTTGGAGATTGTATTTGGAAATTTGTTGTTTGAGATTTGTTTTTAGTTGTATGTCTATGATAAAATGTAAATGTAGCTATTTTTTTGATTTTCTATAATAAATTTCATCTTAATATTAAAATACAATTAAATTAAACAACATTTTTTATTTAAATCTGATACGACAAATGTCTGATTTGTAAAAAAAATATTGATTTTAAGATACAAATGTTAATTTTAGTGTACAAATGTCGAAATGCAACAAAAAATGAAGAAATAAGAATTATGAACATACAATTATTATTGTTATTATTATTATTATTATTATTATTATACAACAAAAAACGAACATAATTGTTATATAGCCTTATTCTATAAGAAACATCAAAATAAAAGATACACTAGATAAAAGCATTATTAAAGACGTTTAACTTGCATACGCTTTTATAAATCAGATTTTTTGTGCAGACGGGTAATGTGAAAAAACAATTGAATTAATATTTGGGTGGAAAAAACCTTTTTGCTTAAAGTTCCCGAAGTTCCATGACTGTTTGGCCTAGAGCCATTCCGGAGTGTGTGAGTTTTCGTTAATCGATCATTAATTGTATCATCAATGTTTCCAGAATCGACATTTCTTTAAATTGACCGATGGATAAAACACTTAAAGGCAGTATAATTTTGCAATCAGTGTAAATTCAGTGTAATTTAAATAAAGGGTGTCTAATGCCACTCTGCTCTAAGCTCGACATGTATTACGGGCATATTTGTTTCATCAGTGAAATTTCTGGTGCCATGTGAATGCAAGGACAACAGCCTGATTGATTTGTTGATTCGAGTTGGAAAAGTCTTCATTAAAATGGACCACTTTCAGGTTGCTGTATTCACGGTCTGAACAACGAAGCTAGAAAACGTGTTTTCCGGCTTGTAATTTCCATAAATTTTCTGGGGGTAACCCCCCTCCCCCAACAAATCTCTCGACGGCGCGTTTCACGACCCAATGGTGTCATTTAACTCAGAGACATCGAAAGCCATTTAAAAGATATATCCATTAAAATGGACCACTTTCAGGTTGCTGTATTCACGGTCTGAACTACGTAACGAGTAAACGCTAGTAATTTCAATAAATTTTCTGGCTTGGCGGCAACTTTTAATCCAGAGACATCGAAAGCCATTCAAAAGATATAGTAAAAGTCAGATCTTATGGAATTATCACTGATCTTATTTGACAGCCATTTTGAATGAAATGCCCGGCGCCATGTTATTCCTCAGGTAGACAGACAGGGTCCCATTGAATAGTTCCAGTGAAAGGGCGTTGTAGGTTTAGTGTTTGTCCGACTCCTTTGAGTATTTGCGCCCCATGTCCAATAAAAGCAATCATGTTGTTCTGATGCTGTTCTTGACCAGTATCAAACATATATCGTGTCTGAGATTCGTTACAAATCGCCTGATAACGCTTATTTGAAATACGTTACGGAAACTACCGTAAAACATGTTTACAAAAGCATTCTAAAGAGTGAAAACTGACATATTTCAAGCTTTACTATGTTTAAAAAATATTTTAGATCAGCCAGCTGAAATCTCATCTCCGCTTTTTGTTCATTCTTTAGGCGCCCACTTCCACCGACAATGATATCGCAAACGAGTGTTTAATCTATAAAAGCTCACATTCCTACAAAATGTTTCTTTAGTCAAGTGAAACAAGAAATTTCATACCATGCGGGGGCTGGGTGAATAAATACATCTGAACAGATCTGAATAGGCTAAATGGAGCATTAGAAGAAGTTCACCTTGATGTTGACAAAAACGTAAGACGATATAAACATCAACTAATAAGGTATACGATGTGATTACCGCAAGGTGATATATATATATATATATAGTATCATAGATGTGTAATACTTACATTCAAGTTAAACCAACTGTATCTGGGGGGTTTTAAAAGTCTTGCGTCGAGCTGAATAAACTATGTGATTCATTGTCATTAAAACATCTATGGGTGGTTAACAGTGTGTAACTAAAAACTATAATTGAATCTTTATTATTGCCAACATTTGAATGTGCCTAGAATTTTCTACACCAAGTCTATCGTACCCAAATATTTAAAGCGCGTTAACAGTCCATTCATTAAAGAGAAACCATGTCATGTCGGGGTTCAAACATTGTAAAATTTATATTCATTTGACGATCGACCTCCTATTTACAAAACTATGGTTTACCCTTACTACAATGTATACATGTTTTAGAGACTACCTGAACTACACGGTACATGATTGTTTAACGTACAAATTTGATGTCTGACAATCCTATCTGAAATTAAGTAACCCTAAAAGCCTTATTGTAGAAACAATATCCACATCAGTGGTTCTCAACCTTTTGTTTCCAATGGTATACCTTGGAACACATGGAAAAATAGCGCTACACCTGGCTAACTATATATGAAAATATTTTTGAATTTTGCAAAATAAAAACATGGGCAGTCAGATGGAATACAACCTTAGACAGAGACTAGTCATAGACACATGAGTAAAGAAAAACACAGCTATGAAATTATCAGTAGACACCAGTGAATACTCAATACTCACGTGGGATTTTTTTTCAGATTTTTGCGGCACACCTAGGAAGATGTTTATTTTCTATTTTAAATTTACGCCATCAGGATCATTCATAATTGAGGATGCTAGTGCAATAAGGTGGACAAGCACCATTGTTCTTAAATAAGATCATTTGATTTTTTTTTTTTTTTTTTTTTTTTTTTAATAAATCAATTTTTAGACGATTTTCTTAACAATTTGTTCATATTTATCACAGAATATGTCAATTTTAGTGTTCTTGTATAATCTAAAATATGTAAAAAATACTATTGTTTGCCGATTGTGTGAAATGGCACTTGTCCACCTTACTAGCACTAGCATGCTCAATTAGTTTGCTTGTTTTAGCTACAGATTGAACCCATCAACCACCAAACCCATATATAAGACATATTACAAGCCTTATCCAACGGATAAAAATGACGGAAAATTCCCCCATTTTGGATTTACTTTGCAGGCCATTTTGAATTTCTACTATCAAGAATTCTCTAAATTTATTTTTGAGATCAGAGTTGAATCCAATAACCCGAAAACACGTATGAAAAACACATTTTTTAATTGATGTTTGTCAAATTCGATTTTTCGGCACATGTCGCTTTCATAACCACCCTGTGTATGAGGAATTTAAAAAAAAATCATTTATCCTCCCACCACTAAAACACAAAGTAAGCCCTTTCCGAAAATTCCCCGATCTTGTTAAGTCATGGTTAAGTAAAGCTGTAAGACGCCATGATGTCATAGTTCCTATGCTTTGTTTTGTTGGGGTTTTTTTTCCTACAGTTCAGCGTGCCAGACGACAAGAACTCGATTCAACAGACCACTTGATAACCCATTCCCTCAAATCAACTAGAACACGGGTTATTTAACAACTCTTCCAGGTGTAGTGAAGACAAGTAAAACGAAATTGTGAACTATTAAAAACGAAACGAAATAGGATGTGTGTGTTAATGACATTGGATTTTGACTGACCCTCATGAGGAGGTTGAAAAGTAGAACCCATTGGTGGAAATAAATATTCCTGACAAATGACGAGAGATTAAAACAGCTGTTGAACCTACAACCTGTAAATCCCTTCGGATGATATAAAAAAACAAGGTACGTGTACATATTGCCGTGCGCGCAAAAGAACCCTGGACAATTGTAATTCGAAATAAGAATAGGCAGTAGTGTCGCTGTCCGGGCAAAATATCCACCATAGCATAATGTATGGCGTATGCCCGTCTTCATTAGCCCAGTCGGTCGGACAAGTGCAGTAGGACATCAGACCTCGTTACGTTTCATTTCATGATCAAACTTGAAGTATTATACATAACTCACGGCATATTGACCTAGGCTTGTATAGAATCACAGTGTCAAATAAACTATCTCATTTGGTTTGAGGTCCAACATCCGTTAAATTCTCATCAGTTTTCTGGAATGTCCATTTTGCCAGAAATATTTACCCTCAATTGAACAATGAACCCAAGTACCCAAGTATTTTTTCCCCTGAAGCGATATTTTAACGCCAGTTTCTGAATAACAAAAAATTAAATATTTGTTAAGACATCATATCAACTGTTGAAAGAACAACATATCAAATACGGAAATGTGAATTATTCTGCTGCGAGTCTTTAAACTTGCTTGATCTTTTAAACTTCATTTTCGGTCCTAAAAAAGAATAAAAATAAACCGATCTATACCTGAAGTATCGGAAGATATGCGTCCTCCTTATTCAATGTCACGGAATGCAAATCTACCTTTACCATGTCGACATAAGCATCCGTCTGCAGATGCTTGTACTAGATTTACGGCTATGTCGACCCCCTCTTAACGGCAATTCATCACATGAAGCTGCGACCACATACATGTATTAAACTTTGGTCTTCACTACAGTTTCTGTATAGCCCACCACACGGATATTGACGGGTTTTTTTTAGAAAAAGTTGTTCATATAATGAAAAGCAACACCGTGTGTCTTAGAAATCATTTAGAGCAAAACACCCGTCATTCTATGTAGAGCAAATTGGTAAAAGGTTCCTTATTGATCTCTCTTTTTTCATAAATTTATTGATGTAGTGAAAGACCTGGCAATAACCGTCAACAAATTATGACTTTCCCCGTACTCCCATTTGGGTAAACTTTTAAGATGTCATTCCAGTACACCCACCACTACCAGAAACCATCAAAAAACCTGTTCTTGCAATGTTTTAGAGATGGACATTCTTCTTTCATAAATTGGCTGATTTACTAGCACTAAAGTTTTAATAAATTTCCTCCCTCTCTTATTTTAGAATTAGCTTTTACTTGCAATGGAAAGGGAAGATAAATCTGTAAGTTGCGATATGGTTCTTTCCTGTGACCCGAGGAAAATGCCATAAATATGATTATTTAAAATATTAAATTAAAACCAATACTTACATGACAAGCGAATTTAACAACAGGAATTGTTATTATAAATACAACAAGCATACACACAATATTGATACCAACTATACCACCAATTGCTATGTGAATATCTAAAAATAAAAAAGATGTGGTTTAATATAATATTCATTCTAGACAACTGTTCATTAGGGGAGCGAGAGAGAGGACATTTCGGTTCAAAATTATTTCAATAGTTTTCTTGCGCGTAGGGGTTTTTAGACAGCCCCGTAAAATGTTGGGGCTTGAAACCATGCCCCATGATTCAATAGCAAACCACATAAACTTAAACCATCCTGACCAGTCTATGACTCTGGGTAACAGTAACTTACATTATAATATTACTGAGACCTGATACATTATAATATTTTATACTCTAGAGACCTGATACATTATAATATTATATATTATTACTACAGCCATCTTGACGGTCAGACCTAATACATTATAATATTTTATACTATAGCTATATGTATCTGTCACACCTGATACATTATTATTTTCTGAGACTGGAATTCAAAGTTCCAGCCCATACTACGACTATTCTAGATCGATATAATAGATCAAAGTATATAACTGGATCATGTCTTGTATTTTATTGGATAATTATAATACAAGAATCTGTAGTAATATGAATCTGTACGTTAGAAAATAGGTGTTCTATCTCCTTTAATATAATATAATTTGTACGTTAGGAAATAGGTGTTCTATCTCCTTTAATATAATATAATTTGTACGTTAGGAAATAGGTGGTCTATCTTCTTTAATATAATATAATTTGTACGTTAGGAAAGAGGTGTTCTATCACCTTTAATATAATATGTAAACAGCCTTCAATCTGTTTTATTTGTTCAGGTTAAAGGTTTTAATACTTACGACAAGCTCCATATGATCCAGCACCGAGAGTTCCAGAAGCAACAGCAAAAATAACCATGACTACAATCTTTAACGCGATATTCAGATCTGTGAAATACGAGAAAAGAAATCATAACCATGGAAATTGTCGATATTTAAATTACAGAAAATATTTATCAAAAATCTATTTGTCTTTAATGTGAACAAGACATTCTACATGAGATTGTCGTATAGGTATTATCGAAATAGGCCGCCTTATATAACTGAAATATAAATTTTAAGCAGAGCGGATGAAAACTTTTCTTGTCAAATCATTCGCAATATTCTGCAAGTGAATCAAGAGCAATAACTCTAGCAGTGATTTTATTAGAAATCTATTTGTCTTTATATAAACAAGACAAAGTATAAACAAGTCTGAATAAATAATGAATGATGAACGGGGGGGGGGGGGCGACAATATTTGTCAATATTTTAATGTGAGTGTATAATTGATATCTTGCCAGACAATGAAACATATGCCCACATCAGTCAGTCTACAACAGTCGCCTAGAAGTACATGTAATCCTAACAGTTCAAATAGGTTGGTACACTGTCTACAAAAGTCAGTTATAAGTATTCCTAGCAGTCCATAAACTTTGGTACATTGTTAATCTTTAGTTAAATAAAAGTAAAATATTTGTATAATATTTCTGCTGCTATGACAAGATTCTATGACATAATAAAAGGCAATAACTCTATATTAGAATTATCAGAAATTGTGGTAATTAAATAAGGCTCTTCACTTTACAAATTTCTAATTGATCAGATCATATATTTTGTTGTCAGAGCATTTACATTAACGGAAATGATTAAAATTCAATAGGGCTCTTCATCGCACTAATGTTAACAACAAATATAAACTGAACATGAAAAGGATTGGGTGATCTCAGATGGAGACGACAATTTCCAACATTTCCACGTGGGCGTATAAAAATTAACACTAGAACAACGTATTATCTAGAACTTGTATTTTTAAGATTACTTAAATTTGACCAGCTTCTACAGTTGCCGGCTACTGCAGTTGAACAAGTTTCAATAAACATCACCGTGGCAAGATATTATATTCCTGCCAAATTCTATTGAAATCCATCAATGAAATGAAAGGAAATGGGTTTAACGTCCAACCGTTCTGCTCAGACTTGACTAATGAAGACATGAATACACTATACAGTTTGCTAAAACTTAAATCTTGCCAGGATACCGGCGCTGTAGCCTACTCTTATATTGAACTCCAACTGCCAAGGGATCTTTTACGTGCATGTGGATGTGTACATGAGACCTCGGGTTTTCGTCCTATCCGAACGAATATACGTTGTTCCTTGACAGGCCCACTGTCCTGTACCACAGATGAGGAGGAACCACACCGAAACATCCCGATGAACTGTCTCGGTCAGTGCAGGGATTGCACACGGGACTTCAAGTTTAGCGAGCCAACGTCTTACTCACTGAGCCAATCGTGGCTCCCTGAAATCCATTTAGGGATCTCGGAGAAGAATGTGGAAATCAGTGATAAGCCGAGTGATCTAGGATGGCTTTATTTTGCTTCTTAAAGGACATCTTCAGATTAGGCTTTACTAGAAATTAAAATATTAAATATTATCATACCTGGGTTAATAACAAAGATTATCACCAAGAAAACAACAACACCAGCAACAAAATCACAGTTAAATGCCACACTACCTTCCAAACTGCATTGTCGATCAGGTGAAGGTCCTTGAAAAATAAATACAATAATTAGATATATGTATACTATATAAGAACATGTCAACAGCAAGGCTGGTGTCCCCACAATTAATCCTCAAAATAAATAAATAACACAGAAACACAAACTATACCCTCGATCTGGTGAAGGGCACTATCTATCTATATATAAGAACACGTCAATAGCGAGGCTGATATCCTCAACCCTAATTCCCAAAATGTATACATAATTTAGATAAAAAGCTGGCCATTCTTGCAGTTCCAAAATAGATATATTGAAAATGTCATTCAAATTACTTTATTCTGAAACAAGTGACCACAGTTTTGACAAGATGTTGAACATAATTATTTATTACCGTAGCAACGTTACTTGCTAATCGAGTCTCAGCCTCGCTTTGGCGATGGCATTTTAATCGGTTTAAATCTGTCCACAAGCCAGAGTACTACTGATATATATATAAAATTGCTCCTACCATATAAACGACTAGGCGGTTATATTGATATATAGCGAAGAAAAAACAATGAAATATGTTATAAAACCTTTGGCTTCGATCGACACCGTACCTTTTCCCTGGTAATCGAAATTGCCACATCTTGGAAACCCCTTTGGTGGATCTGGATGGTTTGGAAACGATTCGTTGATCATCATGGCCATTCCATTCATGTTATGCAGTTCTATGTGACAGTGCATAAACCACACGCCTGGGTTATCGGCCTTGATTCTAACAACAACATAGCCTCCAGTTGGTACAATAATAGTATCCTTTCTGGGCGGATTCTTCAGTTCAAGACCTGGTACGTTATCTCCGAACCACGAAGCGTCAGCCCACTTAGCATTATTACAGAAACTCTCATTTCTAGGAACACCACCTCCACAGTCCACATCCATATTCTCGCCCGTGATGAGGCCTGTTATATTATCGTAGGAACCGTAACCCATCTTCACGACATAAAAGGCATGACCGTGCATATGGACAGGGTGCGACCAACCTTTCCCTTGGCCCATGTTGATGAAAACCAGTTGGTAAACTTTATCATGCTCAAGATCCAAAGAATACATACAGTTACATATCTTCTGTTCGCCACAGTCATCTCCACACTTGTAATTTGATAGTTCTTGTGGTTGGGATAAAGCTGCTACTGGTGGATGGATGAAAGACCTTCCATTCACAGATCCTGGTGTAACGACATTTCCAGGGAAGGCGAAATTTAGGAATCGCTCTTGGAGCTCGTAGCTGGGTGCCGTGGGTGCCGGATCATTAACGTATATTGAACTCGTCAATTGATCAAATGTAAAACATTCAGTGTTGGCGTTACTCGGATAATAGGAAAACGGGCAGTTAATTACATCACATGGTTCGATTACCGTGCATTGCTTTTCTATAGATGGTCCCACAAGTTGCTGTTTTGGTGCATCTGGATAACGCAATATAGCTTCAGCAACGTGTTCCTTGCCGACTTCCAACGTTTGAGCCCGAATCCAATAATTCTGGTTATTTTTCTGATCAGCTTTGATGGTACAGTCAAATCTTTCCCCAGGATTGATAATGATCGAGTCAGCTGTAGCATGCTTTAAATCGTATCCATCAGCAGCAATGACGGTCAAACTATGATTCTGAATTGAGACTTTAAACGGATACACCTTTCCAGTATTAATAAAACGAAATCTGTACACTGTTCGACGGGTTATCTGAAATACATGCAAGGGGGCATCGTTGTAAGAACCATTTTCATAACGAAACCTGCCCTTTCCGTTGATCAGCCCTGAATGAAAATTAAACATAGTAAAATTGGCACCATCCAATGACTGTGTTTGCTGTACACGCTGACCATTGATGTATAGACCATATAACATTTTAAAATATTGTTCGTTGGAATCTCCGTCGTGATTCCAGTCATTAATGACAGCCACGAACTCTGGTATAGGCTCTGTTGTGCGCTCTCGTACAATGAAAGGCCCATACAGGCCCATTGTTCTCTGTACCCCGATATGAGAATGATACAGGAAGGTACCTCTCGGCGCAGCTGTAAATTGATATGTAAATGATTGTCCAGGTTCAATGGGACATTGTGTAACAAATGCAACACCATCCATCCAGGGAGTGTCGCGTTGATGAAGACCATGCCAATGTATTGAGGTTGCTTCACTTGGTAATTTGTTTTTAACATGGACTATAACTGTCTGACCTTCATAAACCTCTATTGAAGGTCCTGGTAAGGTACCATTGGCAACAATAACTAGCTTGGAATCAACCCAACCGTCGGCAGTGATAATATCGCTCGTGTCTTGTATTGGGTTAGTATTCATCGTATCGTTAAAGTTATAAAGTTGACCTTGATATGGATGGACAGATATCTGATCGTTCATCATTGTCAATTTGAAATCAACCGTTAACCAGAACTCACAAATCTTGGCATCTATATCACACGTGGCTCCATCAGATCCAGATAATAAAATGACAAGAAGACAGAAAACAACTTCATCCATGCTGAAAAAAAACCCTGTAAACATTAATACATACTGACGTCTGCTTCTCTAAATCTTGATTAGTGCATCTGTCATAATCACCATTGATGACCTATATTAACCCTAAATCTCACATTTGAGCTTGATAAATTTATATTATCCTGGCTAAATATGGAAGACCAAGCAGCTCTTTATTCAATGTTCTTAATTCTGAGTTCCTAACTCATAGTCCCTAATTCGACATTTCAATACTAAATTTAAGATTTTGTATCGTAAAAACAACATTTGCTTTACAAATCAGAAAACCAATCCTTATCGCGTAAAAGCGGGGAATCGAAACCACGCCTCTCGACTCAATGATAGACATTATGTTATAGACATTATTTAATTCTCATTTTTAATCGTGTTTTATTTGTCCCTTTGAGGACAAAACAAATTGCATTGAACCATTTTTCAATTTCTTAGAAATCTAATTTCTGATAATTTTACTTACGGAAACAAATCTATTTCTTAATTTTAGAGACAATAGGTAAAGACGTCTTACCTTATAAGTAACACAGGTAGGTTACCTATTCTCTGCTGCTTGTATTTATACGTAAACACAGGGATGTTATCGATTCTCTGCTGTTTAAAACGTGCAAGATTTATATGTAACACAAGTAGACAGTATATTCGCTGTTGTTTACAACCCGGTTCCTAGATTTGTGCAAGCATTGATTGGCCGTACCTCCAATTTATATGAAATAAATAGAGCATAACATTGAATTACGTACTTCTCTTGTCATTTCATCTTATTTATAATTCTCGGAGAACAGACTATAACCGGATGTGTAATTGAGTATCAAGTTACAGTTAATCTCAACAAGTCACGTCTGTCATATATTCGTCTTTCACAGAAACCTAGATGAAATGTGTTTATTGCTACGGGACTAATCAGAAGTGAATGATTAAAAAACAAAAATAATCACCACAATATAAATGATGCCTGGTAACTCTGAATTCATAAATCTGTTTATAAATAATAAGACTACTCACTTTGTTAACTAAAATAGTTTTGGAGGGTTGGATACTCGAATGGTTAGCGCTTGCGCGCTGCTTCATAAGATCTGTCATTGAGTCAACCGGTGTGGTTTCTATTCCTCGGTTGTACGTGACAAGGAGTAGAGTTGCCTGTCTAACCGGATTCTCCGGTTTCCTCCCACTGTTAACGAACGCTACGCGCAAGCGATTTATTAAAATAAAACTGAACCATGTTAATCCTGAAATGACCTAGTTTGTGTCGAGTGGACGTTAAACCCCATTCTCCCTCTCCCTAAAATTTCTCGGAATTTTCCCTCTCCCTTTAAAGTTTCTCGGCATTTTTCGCCCTCGTTGTTAATTGTGCATACCAGGTGCGAGATCTTTCCGCTTGCTCGGTTAACAAAAATAAATGGGACTTTTTATATAAAACTCGCAATTTACACACCCCCCTTTTATGACTTAAATGATCAAGTCGGTTCTCAGAGAATTATGAATAACTTGAAATAAGGTATAAGTTGTTCAATCATATTTTCTACCCACGTTGTCACCTTTTCACTTGTTCAGTTTAATAATGATGACTAACAATATTGTGACCTTTGCCGATTACTGATTCCAATTTTATAATCAAGAAATATAGCAAGTTATGGTCATAAACATTCATTATATTTTGTTGACCAAATTAGGTAATAATCCCCTCCCTATATGCAAGGTATAGGGCACACCCTTTCCTTATTTGGAATTATGTATTGTGAACAGTCTATGACGTAAGCAATTAGGGATTCGTCACATATAAAAGAGCAAAACCATGGCTTGAATAAGCAGACGAAAGTAAGCAGACGCCGATTGAATTCGTAGCAGAACCAGGATGTGAGATTTCCATCAGCTTACACTCTCTCCGCTCCGCAAGTGGAGTGAGGTTGAGTAAAATACATGTTAATTTTAAATATTGTAATGTCCACTATTGTTGTTTTTAGGACTTTGAATTTTGTCTAATGGTTTGGATTGTTCGTACTTGGTTTCATTTTATTATTATCTGTTGTAACATACACAAAAACTTATACCAAAACTATTGCCCTAGAGTAAAACAGTATCCAAGCCAGGGGTCAAACACTAGACGAAAGAGGGGTAGCAGGGTAGAACTACAATGTCGGGGCCAGCCACTAGACGATTAAGGCTAACCAAAGAGGTGTAGCAGGGTAGAGCTACAATGCCCAAGCATGAGTATAGAATTTAATGGCGTAGAGAAAATCGATCTGTTGAAGTAATCATCAATAGTTAATGCAACATATTATCTTACTAGGCTATATGTTGTTGAAGGCATTCAGTACAAAGATTCCAATATTTTCTATACACTCTTCATTATTCATTAGTATATTAAGTTGAATTGAATCAGTTATATGACGTTTGATATATGGAAAGAGATATTGCTGTCTCAAATTATCATAAATACGATAATACAATAATATAGGTTTCTCATCTTCTACATAATCTCCCAACACTGTATCTTCCCTTTTCAACTTCCAGATTATGTGCAACAAGTCGAAATTTACTGAGAGGACTCCTTTCAATCTTCTTAGATTTGTAAGTCATTATATTGTCCGCAATAAGATTTCTTAGCCATTAAAAATAAATCTATGTACGTTCGTTCGATGAAATTTGTTTGCTTTTTCCGTCAAGAATAAATAAAGCGTGTTTACAAAATGTATATTTAAAAACAACATCAATGTATATTTAGAAATACTGAATACTCGAGGGAAAAAATACGTTTAAAACCAACGGGCTTGTTGTGCAATGCGAGGGTGGAGAATTTTGTCAAGCCAGCACTCTTTCTACATGCTGGTTTCGCATTCCAAATGTTTTAGGGTTTTTTACGTGTTCTAGGGCCTACTCGAACGACTAGATACTCCGCCCATGACAGTCGTGACACTGACACAAATAGTACACATATATGCATGCATACAACTAATCGCACAAATGTAACACAATAGCTACCCAACCATAACAATGTATTGGTTGGTATATGAAGAGTATACCTCCGTAATAATCTTATTGGTCTATATATAAAACAGGTAAACTGTCGACTATGAATAGATACACGTATTATTATATTATAGTTATGTTACTGGCTGTACATATTACATACATACAAAGGAACGTAGCACATGCATTGAGCTAGTAATATTAGTAATAAATAAGTCTTGATTTGATATGCATTGATCTCAAAATACATTTTTATACGCCCACATTTTCATGTGGACGTATTACGCCGTCGCCCCTGTCCGTCCGGACGTCCGTCCGTCCACAATTGTTTGTGGACTCCCTACAGGTCACAATTCTTATCCGATTTCGACGAAACTTGAAATATAGGTGTATCCCCAAAAGATCTCGAATGCTTTTGATATTGGCATGTATCGGATCGAAACTTCACAGATTATGGCCCCTGTTTGTACGAAAAATCAAGTTTTTAGCTTGTGGACCCTTTAGAGGTCACAATTTTGATCCGATTTTGTTGAAACTTGAAATGTAAGTTTATAACCCAAAGATCTCAGTTCCTGTCGATATTCGCGCATATCGGACAGTAACTTCCTGAATTATGGCCCCTGATTGTACGAAAAATCACGTTTTTAGCTTGTGGACCCTATAGAAGTCATAATTTTTATCCGATTTAAAAAACCGTTCTATTATGTCACCGTTCCACCCTAAGGATTAATGAGTTCAAATTTCGTGAAAATCGGCCCAAAATTGACAGACAAAATGGCCGCCGTTCGTTCCCAAATAGCGTAAGAATATGGTATATCAAGGTTGTGGACCCTATAGGGGTCACAATTTTTATCCGATTTTGTTGAAACTTGAAATGTAAGTTTATAACACAAAGAACTCGGTTCCTTTCGATATTCGTGCATATTCGAATTTCGTGAAAATCGGCCCAAAATTGACAGACAAAATGGCTGCCGTTCGTTCCTTTCGATATTTGCGCATATTGAATTGTAATTTCCTGAATTATGGCCCTTGATTGTAGGAAAAATCACTTTCTTGTTAGCTTGTTCTCTATCCATCTCTCGAAAATGTGGGCGTATCCTGCCTGGCAGCCGCTGGTTAGATGTTATCACGAAAACGAATATGGAGAAGACATGCTGTTTATTACCACTCGTCGATAAAGTAAAAAAAAATCTCGACAGAGCCTCATTTGTTTTTACTTTATCGACTTGTGTTGATATTTTTTTATATCAAAAAAGACTTGTAGGAGATTCTCTATATATCAAAAATGACGAGTAGGAGATTTCATTTAATAACCAACCCTTTCTTATGTGCACAAATAAATAAATATAACTCTTTGGTATAGATTTAATTTTACTGAACCGGATTACATTATGGCGTAGTGATGCACCATTTTTCGACAGCACCGACATTAGTTGAAATTGTTCAATAACATATCAAACTGATTAAAATACAGATCTATATTTCGTTTCGTTTTTTATACTTTCGATGGCCTACGCTACATGGAGATCTGACCAGTTGTAGTGGCAGGTCGAGTCAGAGTTCATACGAGCTACTTTTGACCGTATGACGACAGACATTTGATTAATCAATCGGTATTGATGTTTCTAGTGGATGACCCTCAGTTCCGTGCACCTCACGCCAAAAACTCGCCGTAATAGACCGTTTCATTGGCGAATCCCTCACATCATCCAGAACACGTCAATGATATCAACCCATCCAGTTCCGTGTGTAGTAAAGACAAGTAAAACGAAATTTTGAACTATAAAAAAACGAAACGAAATAGGATCTGTGTTTGAATCAGATTGACAACATATTAGCACAAATTGGAAACTACTAGTTCGACTGTCTTATAAACTGGACGAGTTGGTTCAGGTAGATTTGGTACCGCGAGGTTTGGGGATGGGAAAGGATATCAGCGAAAATTGAACAAGACGACATCGGACATCTATGTAAACCATTCCATGTAAGATTGACCCTGACAGCCCAAGGAAAGGAGTCAGTTCCATGTGTTTCTCCTAACAATTGACTACTTTATGCTTGTCTGAAGTTTTATCTTTTAAACGTGGTATTGAGAATTTGGGACTTTGCGGTACTCCCATTCTGGTAGACTTCAGTACAACAAACACTACCCCAAAAACGATAAAACAAATCTAATAATAAAGAATTAATGAACATATATGCAATGTATCTATGGTCTGTTAATTACAAATATTAAAAGACTTATATTGCTATTATTGGGCGGTCGGTTATAAATTGACTGGTCTAAAAATATAGAATAAATATACACTTATACTGTGTTTCTATGGTCTGTTGGTTACAAGCTGGTATAGAGAATCAAGTTAAAACATGTTATAGCTACATGTAAGATTAAATGTTCTGGAAAACTAGATTTGAATTAGACAGCAAATTAATGTCAGCTGCATAAATCTGGATGTAAGATTAAATGTTCTGGAAAACTAGATTGATTTTAACACAGTCCATTTGCTGAGTACACTATTTTGCCTATACGGGTTTTTTTAGGACTTCGAATTTTGTCTAATGATTTTGATTGTTCGAACTTGGTTTTATTTTATATTTACCTTTACCGCAGAGTAACAACACCGACGTTGTGGATATAAGAATTAAGGGGAAGCAACTCCAAAGATCTCTATTGTAAAACAAATATGAACATCAAATATTGCTTTGTAATTTTAAACTCAAGAACAATACAATGTAATATGTTTGATCACCGTAAAAATAAAATGAAACAAGCATTTAAATAATAAATATTGCATTCAACAGAACACACTATTCCAAGCGGCGGACTATACGTTTTGTGCCATGAGGTCGACTCGATAATTGGTCCGCTTCATTTACCGGTTCGTTCTCATATGATATTCGATCTCTCCTTGGTCCGGATCTAGAAGAGACAGAAGACAGAATGGTGGAATACAGCAACTGTAGATAAAACTGGCGAATATTATGTCAGTGGTAGATAAATGGATCCCATCAGCTATATTCGTTCCAACTGTTCACTCGATTTACATATCTGGACGAGTCTTCTTGAAGAACTTCTTCTGCTTCTAGAAGTAGCAAATCAATTTGGCCTCTATTTGTATATTCGTTTTACACAATTGAAATGTTGTAATACATACATTATTTGTATTAAGTCTAAGTCTAATATTCAAGAACTAGTCTACTAGGCATTGGTTGCGCGATATAAATGTGTTGCTATTATGTCTTTCCATCGAGTTTGATAAACATCAGCAAGATGGCGCACAAGGTGGTATTTATGATTGATGCTGAAAGATATATATATAAGATTATGATACATGGTATTAATCAGTAACAACAAGAGAGAAATGTGGTTTAAAGTCCACTTGAGACAAACTAATCAAATAACTAAGGTTCATTTTACTGCGACGTTTCAACAAGTTTTAACAAGTCGTTATCACAAATAACACGAAACAAATGTGTAATATTCTTGATAATTAACGACCTGTGAAATCTTGTTGAAATGTTGTAGTGGAATAAATAAACCATAGTAATTGTTATCCATAAATAGTGTGTTATTTGATTATGTTGAAATTGCTAAATGCCATTCAAAGAATATTGACACAAACTAGGTCATTTAGGGGCTAACATGTGGTTCACTTTTATTTCAATAAATCGCTTGCACGTAGAGGGCTTAAGCATTGGGGGAAACCAGAGGGAAAAAACAACCAGATTGGACAAATGACCTCACTCCTTGCCACGCCACGCCACTTGACTCAATGGCGGACCTTATGATCTAAAGCGCACACCTTAGGCCTTTCGGCCACCCCCCCCCCCCACTAAAACAATTAAATAACAAACAACTAAACATAGTTGGTCCGGCTATAAAAGTCACTTCCCACACAAAGACAAAACAAATACAGTTATGTTTGATACATTGTCTTAATTAAGGCACAAGGCTTTCAACACCCGCCAGGGCCACGGTCACACATGCAGACGTGAGATCATAAATTCGCTAATCGCCATGTCGTTTCCCTCGCACATAATACGGATGAACTTGGGCACTACTCGGGAAAATGACTACTAGCAGAATACTTTATCCGGTTGCTAAGATACCACAGTCTGTATACAGTAGCCACTAACATCTAATCAAAAATAACAAACCCGTAGTCGAAAGTCCAAAACATATTTCTATGAATGATCCATTAAACTTCCGTCGTGAAGAGGAAATGATAATACCTTGATCAACAGTCAACACTGTGAACAATTTTTAATTCATTCCCATTGGTGAATTACGACATATCCCATATTGCACATTGAATATCCGGGTTTATTAGATGACGTCACTGAGGCAACCACCATTAACAAAACATGTACGTGGACAATTGTAGTATTTAACCTACTGTTCTTGCTTGTGATACCTGTTACATAATAACAGATGCTACAGACGCTTCCTACCATCTTGACACGCAAAAGTGATTTTAAACCTGTCTGCTATCGATACCCCTGGAGGTCTTGGTGGCATTCCTTATGTTATTATGTAACCTTAACTTGTTGCTGGCATGTCTTATTTAAACTTTCTTTGTCTGGCATGTGTTGAGTGTTAGACCAGATATGATACATTAGCCAGGTGTCTAATAAGATCCTTTGTCTTGAAGGGTTTATAAACCCAGAACGGAAACGACATAGTCAGTCAGGTCCGGCCAGGGCACGACTCGGAGGAGAGGGCGTCTAGAAATTAACTCCAGGCCACGCATGTAATGTTGGCAGACTCGTGCCTAGCCCAGCTTGGGCCATGGCTCCCCCAGCACAAGCTAATTACGGAGTTTTAAGTTTTGTACATAATATGTTAGAAGAAGAATAAAAGTATTATAAGATGCTAAACTAGTCTTGTCTTCTGAACTTGATTAAAGGGACAATAACACTCTTGCTGGCTTGAATGCTCCAGAAAATAAATAATATCTCTATCTAAGTACTAGATGTTTAAGTGTCCTACCTGTTGTGTAAATTATCCATTACATCCTATTTTACTTGTCCAGAGGGTTCGAAAATAGTTTTAAATCGAAGTTTCATTTGAAAAGGTTTACGTTAGACGTTTCAAACCATTATGTTGAATTTTTCAAAATTTTTAAATAAGGTGTGTTAAGATGAAATTTGTATCATCAGTTAATTGGAATATTCTAAAATAGTACAGTTTGTTGACCAGAATAAAGATTGGGACATATTATTCAGTTACAACAAGAGTGGTATTGCGCCTTTAAAGAATCAATACCGTAACATACCATTACTGTGGAAGTACACCTTAATCAATTAATGTGTGCCGAGATATTTGGACCACCTGCATTGTCAATATTAGTTTATTTACCCTAGTTTATATGTACAGACCTGGGATATTTGTACCAGCATTGTTTCCACCCATACCATTACCATCACCGCCATTGCCGTAACCACCTTCCGGGATTTCTGTACAAAACACAGACGCTTTACCAGACTTACATCCGTCACCGTTGCCGGTAAACACCGATGTGCAATCTGCCGTAGATGCGGCTTTCTGGGGACATGTGAAGTTATAAATTCCTATGGGTGAACTGTCATAATAGCTAGCATTTGAGGAAATCGACGTTGCTCGGACCCAGCCTAATTCCTTACAAAACGCGTCACCTTCCTTCAGTGTAAGACCATCGCCACAGAAAGAATAAAATCGTGTGTACATGAACTCCAAGAGATATCCATAGTTGCTGGTGTGACCTCCACCGAATCTTACTGAAAGATAAAGGTTACACGTGGGAGTACCATGCTTTAAAAGGTTTGTTATAATGTCATTTATCATTTCAGAGAGAGATTGGGGTGGGGTGGCGGTAACATGCTCTTAGCAATAAACTAGGACTAACATATGATTCAATGTTATTAGGGTCTTTGAACTGTGGAAGCAAACCGGTGGACATGGTGAAAACACACGAGGTTGGATATGCCGCCAAACTCCTTGCCAAGTAGAAGTGTGAGATCGAAAACAAGTCACCACTCTGAAAGTCAGATATTAACCGAATCCCCACTTATAAAGGGCAAAACGCATTAGCTACACACTTTTTCACGCGAAAAGTTCCCTGATGTTTGTTTGGGCAGCGTGTCCCCCTAGTCATCTTCGAATTCAATTCCCGGTTGGCATAGAAACGTAGAACGTTAAACCCCATTTAATTTCAGTTCATTTCATCGATTTACAAATATGTAGATGCGTGGTCCGCGGATGTTTGGTAACTTCCAAACCGTTAGATGGTGACATTCGTCTGGGGTGTCTCCGTCATCGTTAGTCCAGTCAGTGCAACGAGTAGGGCGTTAAACCCCATGCCATTTCATTCAACACTGTATGGGGTGTGTCCGTCTTCATTAGCCCAATCGGTGCATGCGAGTAGGCTCTCTAACCCATGCATGGCATTGCATAGTAGAACTAATTAGCATGGGGATTATATGGTGTAGCCACCTGACATATAACATTGGTTAGACCTTTTATGGAAGCTACAACAGGCATCTATTTCCTTGTATGTAAACGGGCATACGACATATATCGAATTCCAACTGTCAAGGGATCGTTTACGTGCACGACCCATATAAATATTATATAGTAAAGTTTACCATCTATTAACCACAGCCATTCTTTCCTTATCACTCTTGGCATCAGCCCACAGACTGTTAGAGATTGTCAGAGACGGAGGGTGTCGTATAGTTGTAGTTCATTGATGACACTACTGGAACCCAACTGGTGTCTAAGGTTTTACTAATAGAATACCTTTGACAGATATAAGTTTCGAATGTATTAATACAATAAAACAAAGACGGAAACACGTTGCGTTGAAAGATTGTCAGAATCAAAATGTGCCGTATATTCTCAGAAATCGACAAAAAACAAAAACAAACTAACCTTTTCCATAGCATCTAACAGCGAGATATTTCTGATCGGATCCGGAATAGTAAGGCTGATCGTTTATCACCTTTAATCGATGAATGAGTACATTGTCGTCGCGTGAGACATCCCACCAGTATTTCGATGAAACTGCGGGCATTATCGTTGTCTTTCCACCATTAAAACCAAGACTAAAGCAAGCCGATCTAGCAACCAAGGAATCAGTTTTCAAGTTAATGGCGTATCCTGTTTTACCGTTTTTTGTTATCTGCAAGTATCCATAGTCAGTTCCGCCCCCGGAGAGGGAGTATTCGTAAGCTGTAAACAACGAAATGAAATAATTTTTGTAATTATATGAAAAGCACGGGGCGTCGATTTAATAAATTAAAATAACAAAACAACTTATTTTTCTTCCGAACCTACCATTTCCGAATGTCTTAACTTCAATGATTTTTTTATGTGCGAAATAGCATTGGGTGGTCGTGTGGTGTAACGCGATCCGAAACTTGTATGACTTCAGCGGGCTATACCCGAAAACGAATTATTGAAACAAATTGTAGCATATGTTAGTACCGTAATATCACTCCCTCCCGCCCTTCTTTTTCTCTCTTCCTCGCCACCTACGGCCCTTAGGCTTTCTTATATATCCTGTAGTCCTTTACCTCTGCTATATGTTCATCCTCATCTAATCGTTAGCCTTATCGAAGGTTATCGCTGCCAATATTAAAATGTATTTTCCATTGATTATACATGTATGTAAACAGTACAGTGTACAAAGTCCAACTACCGGTAATGATGAAGTCAAAATACCTCTAAGGCCAAAGTTAAATGTAAAACGTCAAATGTAATTTGTCAAATGACAAATGTTTTATTAGAAAAGGCTGCTTTTTCGACGTGTCTACATTTTACATTTCCCTCATTACATTTTACATTTGCGTCCTGCCGCATCTCATTTGTCCTTCACACTTTCTACATACATGTAGCATCTTACGCAGAGCACTATGATATGCAAATGTAGATATCACATGACTTATTAACATATACGGAAACGAGGCCCAATCAACCTGACACACTGTAAGCCTCCGTGTGTGTGTGTGGGGGGGGGGGGGGTAAATGTCGAAATACGGCTCTTAATACGAAATTCCAGTTATCGTGTTATACATCACTGGAAAGTATGTTTCTATGGCGCTTTGAATCTATCAGTTATTTCCTGACACAATCATGATTACGTACTTTAGAGACTATATTTTCAACTTATATTATTTGTCAAATGCTCGGATTAGCCATACCAATCACATGATTTTATTGGCACGGTCGTTCAGTGAATTTCTTATAGTTTACCATGTTGATTGCCTCAATATCGTGTGGTAAAGAGCATTTAATATTGGCAGTCATACCCTTCCATAGAGCATATGGTATTGCGAGGAGCCTCAAAAGTGTAATAGCCTTGGGCCTTTCTTCATTTAAATCCGGCACAGCATGTAAAGAACAACTAGCCCGACGTTATTTACCACTCAAGAGTAATGGTGCTTTAAAGAAATTCCGTTATCACTGTCCAGACATTTTTAGTCATTCGATATGTACCATACTTACGGTCATCATAACATGTCACGGCTGCATATTTCTCTGAGGCACATGTGAAGCTGGTATCATCCCCGTATGTTATATTACACGAGGTTAGGTTCGTCTCATCACCACTACAATCCGCATCGAAAATCCACGTGGGTTTTATTTCATTGTATGAACTGTCCATCCGATACGCTGAACCTTCTCTACCATCTCCACAAACAACGGAAGCTGCCTTGTGACCCCAGCGAGTCCCACAAATGTATCCCCATATACCGTGATACAAGACCTGGACACGGATTCCATCTATATTTATCTTTCCGTCCTGAGTGTGGTCTGTAGGAACATCGCATGCTACCACTGCTACCTTATCAGTGATCCCACAAGCTTTACTGGTAGAAACACGACACTCTGACAACAGATTCTCCGTTCCTGTACATGTAAATGTCTGTTCAAATCTCGTTTCCGAGTCAATGTAACTTTTAAAGGAAGCGGAGGGTAGAATTGTACTTTGACCAGAGTGACCAAGCTCTCGACAAACGACTAGAGCTGCATTTGCATCGAATCCATCTGCGCACAAAAAATTAGCATGGACACTGATGTTGTAGACCTTGATTGGTCCATATCCATCTGACAGTGGAACGACTAAAATATAATCAATTGTAATATCTATTAATTTGAATGAGTTAATATGATACCGTAGAGGTTATAATAAGAGTTAGATCAGAAGTTTGTTAAGTTAATAAGAGTGATGGGAATTTTTAAATTGAACTTGTCCCCAAAACCCCACTTAATATCTATGTTAACCATCCGAGAAAGAAAAAATGGAACGAAAACATGAGTCTTATAGTTTTCTCATTATTTATGTTCTGCTCACCTGTACCAATGAGGGAAACTTTGCCAATACACGCAGCGCCTGCAGCAACACCAGACTCGTCGAAACAATCGGGACTAGCATCTGTTAGTTGACATTCACTAAGTTGAGACTCGCTACCAGTGCAAATATATGATTCGTTTTTCATTTGTGTTCCTGTTCGGTCACGTACACTAAAGGATCTTCCGGATAAATAGCCCATTTGTCGGCAGAAGACTTGTATCGTCTCTGTGGTTGTGTCATTTGGACAAAGGTTGTTGTAGCCATAATGTCCATCGTAGATGTAAACTGTACCTTGAGATATACCACTCGAGATCTGAAAACCCACTGAAATAGAAATTAGGGAAGGAAATGGAGAAGTCCACCGAATATATGTTTGGGGTTAGCATCTGGTATATTTAAATACCCGTAATTCGCTGTCGAATATTCGAATGAAACTCGATAACCCAATAGGTTAGGACTGCAACCGAGCCGTGGTCCGCGTCACGTAGACGCATGGGCATTAATGAAAGAAACATGACACAAACTGTAAATATCAATATAAATAAAATAACCAGACCAGTAGTCTCAGGATAGTGAATATAAAAACAAATGTAGTAGTCTAGAGGTCTAGAGTGTCACGCTTCGACCTCTAGTTGGCCGGTCACCTCTGGCTTGCGGCTGTGGTTTCGATCCCAGGTGTGAGCGTATGTGGCTTGGAGATAGGGGCGCCTTCTCAACCTCGTGGGTTTACTCCGGGTACTCCGGTTTCCTCCCACAGCAAAGACCCCTGCGCGTGCGCTAAGATCATTAAAATGAACATGTCTGCGATATCACCTTCGGTGGAAGCGGACGTTAAACGCTAAGAACAACAACATATCCATATAAGTATTTTTAATTTGTAAAATCTACATCTATGTGTCTTATAAGGAAAATGTAGATCTATATGTAGATCTAGATGCGCAGTAGGAGGTGTAATCTGAATACCCAGTAGACCGTGAAAAAACAAGGATGGAGATTTATTCTGAATACCCAGTAGACCCCGGACGGTGAGTAAACGCAGATGGGGATGTATTCTGAATGCCCAGTAAACCCAGGACGGTGAGAAAACACCGTTGGAGATGTATTCTGAATGCCCAGTAAACCCAGGATGAGGAGAAGAACCATCAAACTGTGTTAGCCGAGTGTGTTATTCGGAATGATGTGACAATCTCGATATAAAGCCATTCATTGCAAATTACAAGGAGTAAGCACGCCGGAAATGAAATGAAATGAAATGGGGTTTAACGTCCTACTGTTCTGCTCCTGTACTGGACTAATGAAGACGGGAACCACGCCGGGAAATCCGGATAAACTTTCTCGGCCAGCGCAGCTAGGATCGAACGAACACGGGACTTCTAAAATAGAGAGCCAACGTCCTACTCACTAGGCCACCTTGGTCCCCGCTTGTCAAGGAACAACGTTTAGGCGTTCGGATGGGACGAAAACCCGAGGTCGCATATACACATTAGATTGTACATACAAAATACCTTGGCAGTTATTCGAGTAACAAGCAACGCCGCTGTCCAGGCACAATTTCATTAACCCAGTCCGAGCATAACTGTGAGACGTTAAACCCCATTTCATTTCATCGGAACCCTTGTTTCTACTTACCTTCCCCTTGGCAAGCTAATTTATAAATTTTAAACTGATGACACCACGAAAGTGTATCCCAACCAGTGTTATTACAATCTAATAGATATTTATCGTTGGAATCACACGTAAAGCCCGTGTTCCAATATCCAAAACGAGTATAGTCTGCTCTTAATTGGTATGGATAGCCATTCTCATCGGAAGCATTATAACCAAGCTGTTGACAGATCATGCCACCATGTATAGCTGTTGCTCTCATCCGGTTGTCGTCACATAAATACTTCCATTCATCATTGATTTTAACTTGTACAATTCCCTGATTACTGCGTTCTCCGCCCCATAATCTAAACGAACCATTTGCTATTAAAATATAAAATAAAAACTCGATTAGCTATATGCGTGGTATTTACTTATGTTTATCTATTTTCGATATTTTATTATATTTGCCCATGATATTTAAATAATGACTCAATATCAGTTCTCTATCAAATAACGATACACCGCTCCGTCAAATAATGTTACAATTCACAATCAAATTAACGTTACAATACTCCATCAAATACCGTTACAATTCTCCACCAAATACTGTTACAATCCTCAATCAAATAATGTCATAATTCTCTATTAAATAATCTTAAATTTTATGAGACCCCATGTCTATTATGTGAGGTCCTAACTGTTAGTTTGTTCAGCGTATGCCTAAACCTAGTTATTTAGGCTTCTTTCGAGTGTGAAGTCCTAAGCTGTATCTATTATATTTTTAACCTTAACCCTGAATTGGATTAAGTATGATCTAAACATCTTACCTGTAGCTGAACTCTCTGGAATAAACAAAACCAATGAAATATAACACCACTTGAAACTCCCCATCATCTCTACAGCCACAAATACAAGAGTAATAATTATATTAAATGGATTGGTGTCTCAAGTCTCGTTAATTATATTTAATGGATTGGTGTTTAAAGTCTCGTCAATGTATCACTTCCGTAATTTTGATTCTACCTTATGTTTATTTGTGAAACTTTCGGGAGAATGACGGAATAAAAGCTCTGGTGCATTGTCCCAATTGGTTCAAAAGTACATGTATAGTTATTTTTCTACCTTTTCACAAAAGACAACCTAATTCGGTAATTTCCTTTGATCTTTAGTGGTTATTCTCTCGACCTATAATTGGTTTCCGGAATATTATTATTGTTTATCTACAAAACAAGCTGGAAAGGGTTATTAATTTACATAATAACCCGGTATGCGGTTAATATTCTACATAGAAATTCCAACGCCAATGTGTACACGGTACACAGTAGACAGCTGTTCTTGTCAGACCCTCAGTCCTGCACCACTGACAAGGGGAAACCACGCCGAAATATATCCCGATTAGCTTTATCGGCCAACACCGGGATCGAACCAGCAACCTACAGACTAGCGAGCCAGAATCTTGTACACTTCGTCACAGTGTCGCCTATTCTACATAGTAAGAGGTTATTATACTACATAATAACCCGGATATTATTATGTAGTATAGTAACCTGCATAATAACCCGGGTAGGATATTATTATTCTACACAGCAACATGGGCGCCCCGATTGTTTTTCGGAAGGTTGCGGGGAAACTGAATATACTTGGACCCCCAAAAAATTTACATCGTACTTTAGGTCTAATATTATTTTCAGGTACCGTAACGTTATCAAAATATGTGTCCCTATAGAGATGTCAATTTCCTATTTAAGAAAAGCTTACGTTCACTTTCGTGCATTTTGGCTTTGATGTAATTAAACAATGGCGGATTCGAGAATCGACGCATTTCGGCTCGTTGGTCGTTCTCATTTTTTCAACCTATGTTGATAAGAGAATTTTCAACAATAATATCCAATATGCATTCCTTACTTTAAACGCGTATGAAGAAGCGACAGTTAACGGAATTCAGCTTTCAATAATTCTCTTCGAAAAGAAAATTATTGGCTCAAGCGTAAAATTCAATATGTAAAAGTGAAAAAAATATGAATACGGCACCCCCTGACTTAAACATGATAAACATTGTGTGATGTTTTAGTTTAACCCCGTAAAATATGCCAAAACAGTGTTTACAGAAGACTGAAACTTTAAAATTTTGGTATGGGGTGGCCCATACTCCCACACTCTCCCTATCGCTCTACATCGGCTGCTGCGCAGCCTCGTGCATCCGGCGTCACAGTTTGTCAACATTTTATATAATTTCATTTGCTCCCCCCCCCCCCACACATATATTTCACGGCTACGCCTGTGCACAACAACCTGCATAATGACCCGGGTAAATTCATTCGTTTCGTAATTTACAGCCAAAAACGTTCCCAATCCCCCATAAAAAAAGATCTCGACGTATACCCTCTATAATTCATTGACTCGTACCGTTTTGATCTTTACGTATATTACCAGTTTGAAAATGATATTGCGCAATACAATTCTTGTATGTTAATATTTTACTTATTCCAGAATGTGTCAGTAGTAAACGGAGGCATACCTTGAATGAACATATCAACATTTGCCCAACTCATAGCAACCGGACCTGTGGGGAACCATAATCAAAGAGAAAAAACGCAAATTGATTTTTGCCTTAATATTCACTAAATACCTGTATGGGTATTGGTTATCAAAATGTATAAATTTCACGATTTTATTTCATTTTAAATCTGTTTAATAAATCAAAACAAAATGGTATATTAATAAATCAAAAAAAAAGAGAAATTATACGAACCTTTAAAACAGTAGACTGCTATCTCAGAGCTATCCTCGATATTACTGAATACAGTATTTTTATATTTGTTCTTGTGATATATATTTCGCAATAGGCTAGGTATTATGTTCAGTATAGTAACCACAATAGAGATTGTGAAACAAGGGTGGTTGTCAGGGTGGTTCTGTTGAGGTGGAAACGCGTGCATGTCCAGCTCCTAAGTGCTTTCCTTGCCCTTTAGATCAAAAGGTCTGTCACTGCTAAATACCTGAGAGGCATATGCGTAATCTCGTCTGTCCAACCTCGTGGGGTTTCTCCGGGCCCTCCGGTTACCTCCTACAGGTAAAGACCCCTACGCGCAAGCCATTTATTGAAATAAAATTAAACCATATGTCAGTGCCGAATTGACCTAGTTTGTGTCGAGTGGACGTTAACCCCCATTTCTCTCTCTCTCTCTCTCATATATTCTTAATCTGAATATTGAAATTGAACAGTTTCAGTACCAAAGTGACTTAGTTTGTGTTGAGTGGGCCTTGTATACAATGACTAGGGTGACCCGTGCACTTTACAGAAAGTTGGTCTCGACACGGCTAAATGTGCACGCTTCAGTTGCGTGTCTCGAACTGATTTCTGACTACCCCGCACTCGCTTTGAGTCGATAAATAGCCATGGCACGTGCAATTCTTTACAAATATATCAACTATTACAGCCGTAAAAAATCTATTGTTGACGATTTTGAATAGCAGAAAAATTTAGCTTCTTGGTTATTACAGCAGCTTTAGTAATTACGTTTGTTTTATTTTTTAAATTGCTTCATCAGTAACTGTACCGTTCAGAGCGGCATCTTTTGGTTTAGTACAAATACTATATCTGAATCACTTTCTTTAGCAGGAACATGATACTAGCAGTAGTTTCATTTTACTTTTACAAGTTTCTTAAAACAATTGTTGAGTTGTCTAAAGTGCTTATTTCTAAATTCAATTTCTTGTTCTAGCTTTCTGTTATGTTTCGTAAAAAAGTAGTCTTGATTATCCCGACCTGTCAATCAGACGTAGAATGGTCGATAGACTGGTTAAGCGAGACTAATTTCAAAACAAGGGCACGTAACCTATCTTTTACTCAAAAGTGTCTGGATGTTATGGACGCAACTTGGAACCAGTTTTCAGTCTATTATTTATAGATGATTAATGGTCATAGCTTATTAAGTACAACATGATCGTTTATTTAGTGACTATAATTGTGTGAAACTGATTTGAGGCTTGGCATATAAATAAATATTGTGGCGTAATTGACGAGATATTTGGAGATATTTATTTATGGTGGGTCACCCTACATGACAAATGATTGCATATTAATTAGGTTGTATTACTCGTAAATCACTTTCTGATTTATTGCAGTAATAGATTTAGTTTTACAGTTATAAGAGGGAAAAAAGGGCGGAAATGGGGTTAAACGCAGACTTGATATAAACTGGATGACTATGCGACTAGCATATGGTGCAATTATATTTCAGTAATCAACCAGAGCATCCGTCCTGACCGTGGTATTTGACCCTACTCGTCATACGTACCTGTTACACGAATGCTAACACAAGGCCTCGGTATTTAGACCCTTCCGAATGATTAGGCCGCTGTCCTGTGCCACGGACTAACTATATGGGTCTTACGCATGCGCTTTAGATGATAGGGCGCAATCTGTTCGAGAGCCGAAGCTTTTACCTGATAAACACGTAAATCACGGGAATTATTGAAATAAACATCCTCCACTTTAATTTGAAAATGTCCCAATCGGTGTCGGGTTATGCTTTATTCTTTAAGGGTTCCACAGCTCTCAAACCACTCCTCGACGTATTACAGACCCCGATAACCAAAGGAATAAAGATATTATATTGTTGCCTTGTTTTGTTGTTGTTTATACTGTAACTATTGTCTTTTTTTAAAGCCACGGTAGCTAGGTGATTAAGACGCTGGCTCACTAGCCTGGAGGTCGGGTGTTCGATCCCTGCATTGGCCAAAAAAGTTCATCCCAATTTTCCGACGTGGTTTCCCCTTGTCAGTGGTGCAGAACGCAGGGCCTGACAAGGACAGCTGTCTAGCCCTTCGGATGAGACGAAAAACCGAGGTCCCGTGTATATATTGGAATGCACGCAAAAGATCCCTTGGCAGTTGGAATTCGATATAAGAGTAAGGGATAGTGCCGCTGCCCGCTCAAAATTTCTCTCATAGCACACTGTATGGCGTATGCCCGTCTTCATTAGCCCAGTATAGGAGCAGAACAGTAGGACGTTAAACCCCATTTCATTATTATAATTCATTTATAGTTTTTTTTAGTAGCCATATAACCGGGTGTACTGTCTGTATATAATATTTATTTTGACAGAACTGTTATCAGTAACATTATCGATGGCTAGTAATCTTGTGCAAATTTGGTCAATATGTCGGATTGCGCAAACTTTGTCTATTTGTATTGTGTGTTGCTAAGGCCTGATTTTCAGGTACACGTTTCCACCGGTGAAAAAATCGATCCAATGCACCTGTAATGGGACGGTTTCCATGCAAGTGTTTCTTGCTCGCAGAAAAAAAGTTGCCCAATGAGCGACCTTTTCGCTTGTGTTTTTCTGATGTGAAGTGTGTGCATACGGATGCTTACATTCTCTCATACACACACGGGTTTTCTACCACAAATTCGATCAACTGCGCTTGTTTTTGCAAATACAGCGTGAAAATGGCAGATTTTTATGACATGGTGTTATTTTATGAAATTACTACTTTAACTAAAATTACCGGTATATAATAAAATATATACTCGCAGATTGGCAGGGTTTTTTGTTGAATAAAACTATTGGTGTATTTTTGGTAAGACGCTAGCTCGCTCGCCTGGAGGTCGGGTGTTCGATCCCTGCATTGGCCGAAAAAGTTCATCCAGATTTTCCGGCGTGGTTCTCCCTTATCAGTGATGCAGGACGGAGGGGCTGACAAGGAAAGCTGTCTAGTCGTTCGGATGGGACGAAAAACCGATGTCCCGTGTACACATTGGCGTGCACGTAAAAGATCCCTTGGCAGTTGGAATTCGATATAAGAGTAGGCCGTAGTGCCGCTGTCCGGGCAAAATTTCCCTCATAGCACACTGTATGGCGTATGCCTGTCTTCATTAGCCCAGGTTAGGAGCAGAACAGTAGGACGTTAAACTCCATTTCATTTCATTTCATTTGGTGTATGTTTTATACATTGTTTACTCGCCCTTCTCTCTTTCACGGCATTGACTTAAACAGTATTTCGTTTCGTTATTTTTATAAGTTTCTTTAAACCGACTTCGCAATTTTAGTTCACCGCCTGTCAAGCGTTTGAGATCGTCCAAAATATGATTGGTGTAGCGTTGAAGTGGACTGTGTGGGATCATCGTCACGACCAATACTGTTTGATGACTGTAGTTTGAAGTAGGTTATGTTATGTCATTAAGTATATATATTTATAGAACAACTAGACGTACGATGATAATGAACGATGGGTGAAACTTGACAGCTCTCCCCACTAATCGATACATGTGTGTATTAAAGCACATTATACATATCGACATCAGGTATGAGACTACGGTTGCCACTGTTTTATATCTAGTCATATAAGTCTTCAGTCAGATATATAACATTCATGAAATGAAATGAAATGGAGTTTAAAGTCCTACTGTTCTGCTCCTATACTGGGCTAATGAAGACGGGCATACGCCATACAGTGTGCTATGAGGGAAATTTTGCCCGGACAGTGCCTACTCTTATATCGAATTCCAACTGTCAAGGGATCTTTTACGTGCATTCCAATGTATACACGGGACCTCGGTTTTTCGTCTCATCCGAAGGACTAGACAGCTGTCATTGTCAGGCCCTTCGTTCTGCACCACTGACAAGGGGAAACCACGTCGGAAAATCGGGATGAACTTTCTCGGCCAATGCAGGGATCGAACACCCGACCTCCAGGCTAGCGAGCCAGCGTCTTAACCACCTAGCCACCGTGGTTCCCTATAACATTCATAGTAACAAATTAAATAAAATGAACTGAAGTTTAACGTCCGGCTTGGGTGCTCCGATTGGGTTAGTGAACACGAGTACACGCCATGTGCTATAAGGGACATTTTGCCCGTACAGCGGCACTATGGCGCACTCTTATATTGAATACCTCGGTTTTTCGTCCCATCCGAACTACTACTGTACCTTATCCCTTGCCAGGCCCTCTGCCCTGCGCCACTGAAAAAAAAAAGGAAACCACGACGGGAAATCCAGATGAACGTTCTCGATCCACATCGGGAGCGAACCCGAGACCTCCAGACTAACGAGCCAGCGTCCTACTCACTATCCACCGCGACTCCACCCCTGTTTTATATATGGTGATAAACGTTGTCAGGCAGGTATTCCAGACCAAGTAATAAACACAATCTATTTGAAATATTATCCCTCAACACTACCCTTATTATATATTTTCTGAAGGCAATACTATTTCTACAACCATGGATTATTAAACGTACGTTTATTTGCTATATAATTCAAGGACCAGCCCCCTGCGCATAGTATATGAAAGGCCTGGACAAACAAAGCTAGGCGGTATTAGACGAGCTCTGACGGTTAAAGCGTTATGTAGCAAAGACCAGGTTATCCTGTGACCTATAAACGTGGTAGACCATCTCGACCCAGGTAAATCAGATACTGTTACCTTGACCTAGATTTCTTACGATCAATATGTAGTCTATCTGTACTTTTATACATTAAAAGCGAGTGACTTCATGAACATAAGGATTTATTGGTTGTTTGTAGCTTAAGAAAAGGGATTTAAACACCTGTATTACAGTTCATTATATCATACAGGTAGTCAACTCATGTTTTGTATAATACAGGTAGTTATCAACACATGTTTGTGTTTTGTATAACACAGGTAGTTATCAACACGTGTTTGTGTTTTGTATAATAAATAGAGGATATTTGTCGTTTTAGAGTGAATAACATATTTTATTTCATCGAGAAGCAAGAAAACTTATATTTTCACGAATGCGTAGCATGAGTGAAAATATAAATGTTTTCTTGCTTAGAGATGAAATAAAATATGTTATTCAAGACAAAACGACAAATGTTCTATTTATTTTATGATTTTACAATCATTTTAGGTAAAAACAACATGGACTTCTTTAGCCAGTGGAATAACACTTTTATTTCACTGATAAAACGCGGTATTCCACTACTGATCATAAAATAAAGTTAGTTATCAACACGTGTTTTATTATCAACATGTCTGGTTATTCCCTACTACTCCTTCAACTTCTGTTCATCGCAGTTAATCCACAACAATCAGGGGATGGTAAGTGTTTTAATGTGTAACCCATCTCTCACTAACGCATGATTTCAAGTATGTGTTCTAAATCATACGGTCTGACATAAGGCCACTCTTGTTCGTGACCGGGATTAAGGTCGCCTGTACAAACTCATGGGTTTTCTGCGGGTCCTCCGGCTTCCTTTCATTGCTAGGGACACCGAACGTAGACCCACATGCGAATTATTGAAATAAAATTGAGACATATATTACTTCCGAAATGACCTAGATTATGTCGACGGACGTTACCCCACCTCTCTCTCTCTCTCTCTCTCTCTCTCTCTCTCACACACTTTGTTGGGTATGTGACCTCGAAGTTAAGAATGAAATATTATAATGTGGGTTATGCGGGCAGCAGGGGGGTGCCTCATAAGCCATGAGACCTTGGTCTTTGCCAAAATCTGTTGTTTTTTGGGGTTTTTTGATACCGACTGTTTAACTTTAATGACATAATTGTTAAGTTTGTATCCACAATAGCTAGAACGAAAATGTTCTGAAATGAAATAAAATGTTGTGCACCCACTGGACTAATAAAGACGAGTAAACTGTTGCATATAATGTAATGTTGAAATTTCATGTTAATATCATTAAAAGATATGGGACGATGTACAATATTATTCACGTATAAACACTCTTTAAAACTATATATAATTTTGTCTATACAAGATTTATATGTGATTGTATTATATGTATACTGTATATACGCAGTCATGCATAGAGTTACTAAACAGTAGGCCTACATAGTGTTGTACTTTAAGTCATTTATTTATATTCGTTTATAAAAGAATGAAATATTTACTATGTTGGACAAAACCATAAAGTTATATGTACGGAGAGCGAGCGAGAGAGAGGATATGGTGGTGGTTGTGGTGGGGGGGGGTAATGTCTACTCAACATAAACTATGCCATTTCGGAACTAACGCATGGTTCAATTTTATTTCTATAATTCGCTTGCGTATAGGGGTCTTTAGAAGTTGGAAGAGACTTGAGGACCAGGAGAAAACCCACGAGGGTGGACAGGTGACCCCACTACTTGTCACGTACAAGCAGGTAATAGACACCATGCCACTTGACTCAATGACAGAACTTATGATTCAACGTGCACGCGTTAACCATTCGGCTACCCAACCCCCTGTCTATGTAGGACAAAACTATATAGGAGTTATATACATTGTGTATTATATTCAGTATTCTTAAAAACTATATGTACTCCCCATTTTAACCAAAATCCCTTTTGTTCCCACCCACCACAACCCCAATTGTTTTAAATATATATATCTGATTGTTGACATTTTTATAATTTCAGTTGTTCCTTTAAGTCAAAACCGTGAATATGGGGTTGTTAAACTTTACAACGATAAAATTTATAGAAGAGCAGTGTGTGCCGATGGGTTTGATTCGAAAGCGGCTAAAGTTGCTTGTAGGGAAATGGGTTTGGGTGAAGGGGGTCGTCTGTTACCAGTAACAGCCTTCAGATACCTCAAAGTCTCCCTGGACAAAGATATATTCAATACAACCTTCAACTGTCAAGGAACAGAAGCTAGATTAAGAGATTGTATTTCAGAAAACAAAGCTTCTTGTCCGAGTACAGATGTTGCAGCAGTTGTATGTTCGGTACCACCAACTTCCACAGGTAACTTAATCTATATTTGATCAATATAGTACCAAAATACAACAAGAATTGAAAGCTAGACCTTTCATATCAGAGTCCGAATTCAAAATATTGATAGAACAGCTTAATTTGCTTTGCTTAGCCATGCGCCCTTAATGTTCTAGAGCTCTGTCTTCCTTTTCCCGACTTAGTAAATTGATCTTCTTAACTTCAAATGCAATATGTCAGTAGACTCACTTGCTTAGCCACTCGCTCTTAACATTCTCGCTCTCTGTCTGCCCTTTTTCTAAAGGCTTGACGTTTTGACAAGAATGAAATATCGGTAAATCAGGCACTGCAACCAAACTCAAGCACAACTGTGCTTGATAACGATAGGGATAAGAGGATACTTGTCAAAAAGTTATGCTTTTAGAATAAAACCAGTGATTGATTTATCGATATTTTTTTATTCTTAAAGAACAAAAGGAACGTACCAACACAAGAAAAACAAGAATGAGAGGAGGGAGTTTGCAAGCGGAGAATGTGTTTGGTTTTCATAATTTCCTGCCCTGTAGATGTAGCAACAAACAATGGTCCGCCACCAGAATATTGAAATGCCACGACAAATATTTCAAATATTTTAAAGCGGACAAGGAGTTTGTTTTTCATAATTTCGTGTTCTAATCGTGTAGCAACAAACAATGACACGACAATTATTTGGAAATGACGAACATCATTTATTTATGTTACAGTTGACGGCGAAACGAGAATAGGTGATGATGAACAAGTTGAAGTGTTTTATCATGATTATTGGGGTACAGTCTGTCCCCGACACTGGGATGATAATGCAGCTAAGGTGATGTGTAAAGATTTAGCTCAGCATGCCAAGGCTAGTGTAATCGCAGTGGGAGACCTGAAACCCAGATGGGTATTTGACGTTAATTGTACTGGTGATGAAGATAAATTAGATTCGTGTCAGATAACCAGAGATGATCCTAACTTTGAATGTGATACAATCGATCAAGCTGTAGCATATTGTTACAATAATAGTAAGTTTAAACAACAGAACATTTCACAATTTTAAATCTGTCCAGAACAACGGCGTAGTTTTCAGTAGTCTCTGTAAAGTTTTGGCCATAAAGTGAAGAAAACCGAGAATTTGACTCTGGAAGTTACACCCGCTAGCTCTTCTGCTGGATCTGCTGGAGTTTTCAGCAGAAGAGGGTTGTTAGTCCCGTACACACATCTAAAACAAAAAACTCACCCTAGCTTGTTTAGGGTGTTCAGGGCTTTGTTAACAATGTCTTCCCTATTCACAACCCTAAATTATGTAACTCTAGATTATAAATTGTTTGTTTTTAGAAAATATGCCCTATGTTAGATTTAGATAAAAAAAATCTGTCTCTTCTTGCTATAATAGTTTACAAATAGATAATTGAAAATGAATATAAGGAAACTTTCATTCACATTATTTTATTCTGAGTGTCATTATCACTGTTTTAAGTTTTGACAAGACGTGACACAGATTGTTTATTGTCGTAGCAACATTATTTGTTAATCGATACTAAGCATAGCTTCTCCAAATCAGTACATGGCGATCGTATTTCAATCGGTGTAATCCGATGAGAGAGAAATGGGGTTTAACGTCCACGCGACACAAACTAGGTAATTTCGAGACTAACACATGGTTCAATTTTATTTGAATAATGCGCTTGCGCGTAGGGTCTTTAGCAGTGGGAGGAAACCGGAGGTCTCGGAGAAAACCCATAATGTTGGACAGGCGATCCTATTCCTTGTCACGTACAACCGGGGAATCGAAACCACGCCAGTTGACTCAATGACAGTGTTGACAGACCGTATGATACAGCGCGCACCTGCTAACCATTCAGCCACCCCACCCCCTCGCCATCCGATAATCCAGAGGATCTATTATACGCTTGTCATATGAATAAATGTCTAAATAATAATTTCTATAAAATTTGAAGCCAAAATAAACACCTGTGTAATAAACACCTGTAATAAACACCTGTGTTTCTTACATAATACATCTTTAATATTATAAGAATTTTGGTGGATTGACCCGACAAGGACAGCTGTCTAGTCGTTCGGATAAGACGCAAAACCGAGGTCCAGTGTACACATTGACGTACACGTTAAAGATTACTTGGCAGTTGGAATTCGATATAAGACTAGGCTGTAGTGCTGATATCCGGGCAAACTATCCCTCATAGCACACTGTACGGCGAATTCCCGCCTTCATTATCCCAGTCGGTGCAGAACAGTAGGACGTTAAACTCCATTTCATTTCATTTTCATTTGGTCAACCCGGTGACATGTAAAGCCCTAGCCAGCGACAGAACTAAGTAATAACATGAATAACAATTATCTCCGTTACTTTTTCTTTTTTTTCAGCTTTGGACTTTCGTCTTACTGGAGGTGGAAGAAATTATGGATATGTTCAATTAACACATAATGGTGTTACTGGCTACCTCCAAGGAACTGATTTAGCACGAGCTGCTTGTAATACTTTCGGTTTTAACGGGGGTATAGCGCACGATATGCCGCAATTATCAACTAGATACTGGTGGTTTGCAAATAGAAACGAACAATTTTTAGGCTTTCCCCTTCTAAAAGTAAATAATCTGCAACCCCGAGAAACAGGCTCTAAACAGGAATATCTCTCGGTTTTCTGTTACGAAAACGGTAAGTAAATTGACAGCATCCTGCTTCCATTTGGACAGCATCTTGACCTATTCAAGAAGCGAAATGTAGCATAATATCTCTGGGCCCTGTTTCACGAAATTTTAACTAAAGATAAAATCCAGATTTTAGTAGATACTTCAATTTTGATTGGCTAAGCACTGAAATCAATCTAATATTATCGAATCAAATTACTAAAATTTGGATTTTATCTTAGTTAAAATTTCGTGAAACAGGCCCCTGGGCATCAGTTGCTAGAGATTCTAATGTACGATGGATTATTGACTGTTATATCGAAAACCTTCTTGTGTCTTGTTTGTGTAGCATTTCATGTGTAGTCTATCTCCATATCAATTGTATGTATTCTCCCTAAAGCCTTGTTGTACATTTCGTGGGAAACATTTACGGAAAAACATGACCACACAATTTTCCGGAATCTCCCACACTATAAACTCGCGATATAGGTGTGGTTCGAGAAATCGGTTCTTGTGAAGTTTGGTGCCTGATTCGTGCATTTCACGTAAATGAAACTTTGGTAGATGGACACGGACATGTCTCTATCCGCCTGCTTCGCACTGTGCGTAACGTCCGCTCGCTATGACAGGCAAACTAACTTCTCTATTTCGTGTATCACAAGTGGCAGGAGGCGGTCAGATGCCTCACGCTAAATATTTTTTGTTTTGTTTTGCTAAGCACGTGTCCTCTTTTACAGTAAGACTTGGTTCAATCGGTTACGGAATCGTTCTGGAAATGAAATATAGAAAATACTACGCATATTGTGCTGATGGGTTTGCTCAGAAGGAAGGTGACGCAGTATGCAGACAATTAGGATATCCCAAAGCAACAAAGATCACAGTTGGAACTTCGAAAGTAGAAATTAGTGTGATAGGATTTCTTGATTTTACCTGCCCAGAAGGAGCAAATTCAACAAAGGAATGTACATCAACGTTTAACCAGAGTGGTGGTGGTTGTGTCTCGGGAAGAGCTTATGTTCATTGTATACCAGATGATTCTAACGGTGGAAGTAATGGACTAGAAATTACAGGTTTGTTTGTTGTCGCTGTGTTTTGTGTGGATCCATTTTCGTAGACCTACTGCTCCCACAAGTCCTGCCCTCGACCAGGATCGTCCACACCAAATTTGTTTTCCAGATTCCGCGTGTGCCAGGGGAACACCAGAAAATCCCTTCCCGGGCTCGTTGTTTTCATTTTTCATTTTGAACAATTGCAATTTGATTGATTGAACACGAGTTGACATTTTTGGTTTAGTTTACAGACATGCTTTTTCGGTTCTTAAGTGAGTAGAATCAGGGCTTCTTTGAACGGATTTCACAATTTTACAAAATATAAGCATGTGTCCATAGAATCGGGTATTTAATTAGCAAGTGATAATAATTAAAATACATTTATGATTACTTTCTTTCTTCATAAATGTCTGAAATTATCCAGTAGTTACTGGTTTCTATAGCAACCAGGGCATTATACCTTAGTTACGGGTTTCTATTGCAACGTGTTTCTATTGCAACCTATCGTAGTAACGTTTTCCATAAAAACCCAGAAATGAACAGAAAGATAAATTTACATTCATGTTCACATGTAGGCGCTTGCATCAAAATGATCACAATTTTGCCATATTTTGCAGTGGGTTATTTACGGTTTTGATTAACGGCTTTTCTTTTATTTTCAGCTTGTGTGACAATAACTGCACTGTTCCTGGTACATGTTATTTTATCTGCTTTTTGAAATTTAAAACACGGTTTAAAGGTCACATGTTTTTCTTCTGTTTTCATTCCCACATCTGTCTAAACAGATAGTTGCTCTTGCCATCATTGATTGTATATAAAAAGTTAAATACCATTATACTACATTGATAATATACTTATTGAGTTAATTACCATTATCATATATTGTACACTTATTGAGTTAATTATCATCAAGATATGTAGAGGTTATATTGGCTTGTACACACAGTGAGTTAATTCACAGATCTGAATGATTGTTAAAATATAACATTCTTATTTTACACTATGTTAATATTGTCATGTCTGTTTTGTATATTACTGTATGTGTGTTCATCTAATGGGTCCCTGGCCTCAGAATATTGTCATTTTTGTTATGTATATTACTGTATGTGTCTTCATTCAATGGATCCCCTGGCCTTGAGAAATAAAGAACTTGACTTGAACTAATTATCATTATGATAATATGTACAATTTATTTTTGATTGTACAAGTTAATTATCATTATGAAGTTATAATTGATGGCACACGTTAACTAACATTATGATATGTAGATGTTATAGTGTAGTTCACCTGCAGTAAGTTAATTATCATCGGGCTAGTTGGATGTTATAATAGATTGTATATAATGAGTTAATTATCACAATGATATAATGGATTGTACACCTAGTTGGTTAATTATCTCTATGATATAATTGATTGTACATTAAGTGAGTTAATTATCACGATGTTATAATGGATTGTACACTATGTGAGTTAATTATCACGATGATATATATAAGTGAGTTAATTATCGTCCTAATATGTGGATATGATAATTCATACTGAGTTAATTAACACCACGATATGTTGATATTATAATTTACTGTACCTGTAGCGAGTTAATTACCATTATAGGTTCAATTTTTAATCGATTGGACACCTAATGAACATAATTATATAACAACAGGTGCTTTTCAAGAATACTCTATCTCTCCTCTCGCGGCAGCGTGTTTTAAAGGGATATTTGACATGTATTGCTTTTCTTACTCTTTTATATGTAAATAATTTAATTATACCAACCTGTCCATAATAGTTTTCTAATTGTTTACCTTAAGTCTGATTGTTTACGTTCATATAACAGAGGCTGGATATATATATTTATACAGATTAATATTAAATAAAACATATCTTTATACATCTTATCTTATCATGTTATAAACAATTACCGGGACCCTTTATACACCTTATCTTATCATGTTATAAAATAATACCGGGACCCCTTTTGAAACATAATGAGATTGCCATCACTAGATGAAAAAAGGTCCATAATACTTAACCCTCAATGGAGTAAAATTTTAGAACTGCTATGAAACGGGAATCCATCGGTTTTATCGCGGGTGTTTGCCGTACATGTATCGACATAAAGTAAGTCGCTAGCATATTGTTATATTTCAATAATTCACTTGCGCGTATGCGTCTATGGCAGTGGGGGACGTCAGAGGACCCTGAGGAAACCCACGAGGTTGGAAGGTAACCCTACCCTTTGCCACGTACAATCAGGGAATCGTAACTACGCCACTTGTCTGAATGCCTAATCTTATGACCAAACGCGCAGCCGTTAACCCATTCGGTCATCCCAATCCCCTAAGTATACATAAGAGACATAATATATGATAGTTATAATATTTGGTTGTTATGAATATTACAAGCCGTATATTGGATTGTTATACAACCCCAACTCTAAAATATCCACAGTGGTTAGGACAGTAGCTCACATCTTGAATACGCCGGAGTCGAGAGTAAGGCGTCTTGGTTCGTCATGTCATGCTCAGTTGACTCTGTATGAACGTGTTCGTAACGATCTCTCGTCATTTGGAACGTAAAGCTGAGTAGGGGCCAACGCGGTTCAATGCAAGACCTCCATTCCGTTTTTAGTTGTGGCAATAAACTATTGCTAGATTTTAAACGTGATTTGAATTGTTTTTGTTGGTTGCTTTGATTGATTTGTGTAGGTGTCAGTAATTGATGTTCGTCGATGATATTGTTATTCAATTGTTTATTTCTGTAAGTCTACAAGTAAATATAATCAAACAAGGGGTATAAATAATCAAACAAGGGGGTATAAATAATTAAGTTAAACAAGCCAACAGTGAAAATGATGTCCCCACTCCACCCCCGCCACAATCCCAAAATAAATACATCATACATATTAGTCAACTGAACCTGTAATTTTTGTAAAGCATCGAGCAATCCAGCTAATCATTAAACTCAGTTAGGAAATGAAATGAAATGAAATGGAGTTAAACGTCCTACTGTTCTGCTTCTAACCTGGGCTAATGAAGACGGGAATACGCCATACAGTGTGCTATGAGGGAAATTTTGCCCGGACAGCGGCACTACGGCCTACTCTTATATCGAATTCCAACTGCCAAGGGATCTTTTACGTGCACGCCAATGTGTACACGGGACCTCGGTTTTTCGTCCCATCCGAACGACTAGACAGCTTTCCTTGTCAGCCCCTCCGTCCTGCATCACTGACAAGGGAGAACCACGCCGGAAAATCTGGATGAACTTTCTCGACCAATGCAGGGATCGAACACCCGACAACTCAGTTAGGACATTTACCTAACTATACACTGAGTTCAATTACTCCATCAGTTCGAATCAAAGTTATTGTGTTCCAAATTCTCGACCAATCAAATTCCTTATCGCTCTGCTTAACCTGAACAGGAAATGCTCATTATTGAACTTAGTCAAGGTATTGATGTGAAAAAACTACACACCAAGTTTCATCACTCTCACTTAATTTGAACTAAAGTTATCGTGTCTTAAGCACAAACCAATCAAATTGTTTATCTGTGCTTACAGAAAATACTCATCTTCGCTTCATCAAGGCTTTTACCTGATAAAGACCTACGCCAAGTTTTTAACATTATAGTCCAGTTAAGTGTTATATTGAGAAGGGAGGGAAACATATAGGAACAAAGAAAAACATTTTGTAAGGCATTATCATAGCAAACATTAGATTGGGTGTGCTAGGGTCTATTTATTGGTGCAACATAGCCCGGTTTGTGCTGACTTGCCATAAAACCACATTTTTTTCATTCACTCAGAGTTCATTTAATTAATATTTAAAGATGCATAAAGTTAAAGCTAAAGCTGCAGGTATTTCTTTTGGCACCAAATTTTATATAAATTATTAGACATACATTTATTCACATGACAAGTTTATAATCAACTCTCTAGACCATCGCATGCTCGCGTTTTCAATGGATTAAAACAAGATTGTCGTTTAATTTATTTCTAAAAAATGGATAATCGAGATTGTGTTTACTATGGTAACAACGGTAGCAATGACAATCGCGACTCGGCTATACTGCAAACAGACGTAATTTCTGTCAGAATAAAGTAATTTGATTGAACATTTCAATATATCCATTATTCATAACTTATTTTTGAACTATTATAGCAATTACGGCCAGCTCTTTACATAGAGTGGTTCTGTCCTACAGTAGGGTGACCCACCATAAATAAATATCTCCAAATATCTCGACAATTACGCCACAATATTTATATATATGCCAAGCCTCAAATCAGTTTCACACAATTATAGTCACTAAATAAACGATCATGTTGTACTTAATAAGCTATGACCATTAATCATCTATAAATAATAGACTGAAAACTGGTTCCAAGTTGCGTCCATAACATCCAGACACTTTTGAGTAAAAGATAGGTTACGTGCCCTTGTTTTGAAATTAGTCTCGCTTAACCAGTCTATCGACCATTCTACGTCTGATTGACAGGTCGGGATAATCAAGACTACTTTTTTACGAAACATAACAGAAAGCTAGAACAAGAAATTGAATTTAGAAATAAGCACTTTAGACAACTCAACAATTGTTTTAAGAAACTTGTATAAGTAAAATGAAACTACTGCTAGTATCATGTTCCTGCTAAAGAAAGTGATTCAGAGATAGTATTTGTACTAAACCAAAAGATGCCGCTCTTAACGGTACAGTTAATGATAAAGCAATCTAAAAAATAAAACAAACGTAATTACTAAAGCTGCTGTAATAACCAAGAAGCTAAATTTTACTGCTATTCAAAATCGTCAACAATAGATTTTTTACGGCTGTAATAGTTGATATATTGTAGAGAATTGCACGTGCCATGGCTATTTATCGACTCAAAGCGAGTGCGGGGTAGTCAGAAATCAGTTCGAGACACGCAACTGAAGCGTGCACATTTAGCCGTGTCGAGACCAACTTTCTGTAAAGTGCACGGGTCACCCTACCTACAGGCAGAAATGAGATAAATTCAGTAGCTCGTTCGCTGAAGTTGTACTTAATAACTGGATTAAAGTTAAACAGTTTAGGTTTTCGTGTAAAGTAGGGTTTGATAATAATAATTATAATAATAATAATGTGCATTTATAGAGCGCTTAATCCATCCAAGGTGCATGCCCTAAGCGCGGTAATACGACAATGGCTATAATAATACATAATGAACATATATACATATATATATCTTAAGTCTAGATTTAATCTGAGCAATGGATTCTGAACACTTTATCACAGCTGTTAAGTCTTTCCACAATTGTGGAACTATAGACTATCAAATTCATTAAAAAAAACAACGGAATTCATCTTCAATATCATTTAAATTGTATTTTCTGTCGCTAGGTTCTAAATCATTTAATCGGCCGACTCGTATATGTAAATTACAAATACTTTTAAAGAAATCAGCTTAAGGGGTAGCTCCCAATGAATGTATCTCAGATGAAACAGTAGGTTTTTCATATATTGTCCCGATAATATATGAAAAACCTACTGTTTCATCTGAGATACATTCATTGGGAGCTACCCCTTAAGCTTGATATAGACGAAGTGAATGAACACACCCGAATACGGTGATCCGAAGCGACTGGTTACCGTTTGTTTCATTACAATTTTGTTGATGGTTTTGTTGGAACTCGCGGTTTAACAGCCTTTTCAGGTTTAGGCGGCTTCCCTGGCTTGGGTGGTGTTTCTGGCTTAGAAGGTTTATCCGTCACTTTAGGTTTTTTGTTCACCACAGCGTAAACGTTATTAGGGTTTGGAGTTGGATTGACGTAAAATATTTCAGGTGGATTTTCGCCATTGTGGACGGAAGCCTGCACTGAAAAAACACTTGTGTTGGATCTCAACACAAGTACTTGTGTTAAAACTAATCTACACAAGTTATGTGTTGTTTTGCATTGCATTAACACAAACTTGTGTCGATTTATAAAATCTTGTGTTTTTTTCATATCATTAACACAAGTAATGTGTACCTTCCAAGATTTGTTTTCTTTTTATAAAAAAAACTCCATACAAAGTCTGAATTCGGGAGTCGTCAAGTTTTAAGAAAAGTAATAAAGGGCTTAATTCACATCTCGAAAATCACATGCTGTTCTTCACTGGAAGGGTGTGAGTACCAATTAATCAGACAATTGCCAGACAGACTTGAATGTTAATTGATTAAAATGTCTGTCTTTTTTTATTGACCCAATGAACTGATAGATCAAATGAATATATAGTGTACATGTGATTTTCAGCACCCTGGTGTTTTCGAAAATTGATTCAATGTACAATGAACAAAAAAAATGAGTAAAACTCTAAATAATGTAATTGGTTGATGTAATCGAAATTGGACAGTATTGGTTAACTGAAACGTAACCAATCAAATTCAATTGATCATCCACGTGTATCTCATAATCGACTTATTGATATAATGGTTCTCCAAGTTATCTATACTTTTTGTCTGCGATATCACTTCGGTGGAAGCGGACGTAAAATACAACTAACTAAGAAGAAGTATCCATACTTTAGTCATTGCGACAAATTCTTTCTTTGATATTATATCAGCGACATTCAGTTAGATAGATGTAGTGAAGTTAGCATCAACAGGGTGCTTTAGCCGTGATATTTTAAAAAAAATTATAATGGTCACATAGAATACCAGACCGCAGGTTTGTAAATTTTTACAAAAAATAAAACTGTATTTAATTTAGCATGTATATATTGCTTCTATGTATATAATAATTCGTTTCGTTTAAAACAGTCAGATTTAGAACTACTGCCACTGACTGCACCGGAAGTCTATTTATATAATGGCGCCACAAAGAAAATTTTTTTGATGTGTTCTAAAAGTGTTCCGCTAATTCAGCAATCTAATGAATCTGTCTTAATTTTTCTGAAATCGTGCTTAATTATTATTAGCTAATCGGCGCTACACCGTTGTTCAAATACTTAAAATTGCAAGAAACCCCCGACTAGGACCAGCAGGTAAGAATCTGTCTTGATTTTATAGTAATACCCGGTTGCAATTATTGGCCGCCATCTTTGATTTTTATAGACGTTCGGGCAAAAGGAGAAATGTATATCCAGACATGGACTATAGCTAGATACTAACTTGTGTGTTAGTTGTTTAGTTGAAATGTAATCTTATTTCTGTAAAAGAAAAAAACAACAAACAAATCAGCCTTTTTTTATATCAATGTCATCAATGTGTAGGCCTAATATTAGACTTTCAATGATTCAGAAGTTTCTCTACAGTTTCGTTATTTTTTTTTCCAGTCATTGATGTTAGCATGTACTACACAAAGAAAAACAGGTAACAGAATTTCATTTCCTTTTAATATATTTTTTTAATAATGGCCAATAATTGTTATTGTATGTAACACGAAAAGTATTTATCTCTGTAGAGAGAGGGCGAGTAAATGGGGTTTAAAGTTCACTAAATTCACTTGACACAAACTATGCCATTCATTTCCTTGTATTAAATATATATATATGTCCTAGAATCAAGTAGGACAGGTAGTCTTCTTCCGCCCTTTTTCTGAACACTGTCTCATTCTATTGCCATCTGTGTATGTTGTGTTATATTAATTCTGCATAATTAACTCTAGTTAACCTAGTTAACTCTATAATAATAAATGAATTTAATATATAAATAAATAAATAAAATATAAATAAACCAATAATATATTTGTAGTTTAATATGTTTTATCTTATCATTACAGGCAAAGCATGAAGCCAAAGGAAATGTTTTTACCAAGGCATGTTCCTCAATAGCGGAGAGAGTTTTATCCAGTGTCGGTTCTGCAGAAGAACCCATTCATAGCAGACCACCCATTGCAGCACTTGTAAGGTCGCTATAAAGAACCCGACAGACTCTGCGACCAAAAGATCCCACTGACGTGTCGTCAAGCGTAAGTACTCATGCAATTAAATACCCATGTATATAAGAATTTATTAACATGTAATTAAATGTACAATTTTATTTATTTATTAACATGTACTTAAATGTACTTTTTTATTTATTTTTTGTTTTAGCTTGACGAAGATTTCATCGATCATAGTGCACCGGGATTTTATCAAAAAATAGTAAAAGTTGGGGAAAGGCGCCATCACATTTTTTGTACTGATAGACAGATGCAACTACTCGCACGCGCAAAAACTTGGTATATGGATGCAACTTTTCGGGTGGTGAACAAGCCATGGTCTCAGCTGTTTTCCATACACGTCTCATTAAGACTGGAGAGACCACCCGACAGTTACCATTGGTGTTTTGTGTAATGTCGGGTAAAAGCCAAGACGACTATTATAAGGTAAATAGCACTTACTGATTGAATTACTATTAATAGTAAAAAAAGGACTATTATTTGGGACCTTGAAATTGTCACAAATGGGTCGCACTAACAGTGACATTTGTTTCAGGCATATTTGTTTCATCGGTGACACGTCTGGTGTCATGTGAATGCAACGACAACAGCCTGGTTGATTGATTTGTTGATTGGAGTTCAGATGTCTACATTAAAATCAACCACTTTCAGGTTGCCGTATTCACGGCCAGGCAAGACCGACTTGAAATTTCTAGAAATTTTTCTGGGGGAGACAGGCCCCAACAAATCCCCCGACGGTGCGTTTCACGACTTTGGCGCAAGGCGGTGACGTTGAAGAGACGTCGAAAACCATTTAATAGACATAGTAAAAGTCATATCTTACGAGATTATCGCTGGTCTTGTCAGAAAATGCTATTTTATATATGATTATATATAATTATTTATTCTCCCACCATTAAAGCACACTAATTACGAAATATCGCTCTCAGAAACTTCATGGTTTCTTTTGCAATTTGTTTGGGGTAAGACGTTATATAAATAATATCAATCTGTCTACCACAAAAATTTAACAGATACAAATGCATGTTATTCCACAGGTAGACAGACAGGGCCTCCTTTGAAGGGACTCAGTGAAGGGAACGCAGTTGGTTTAGAGTTTGTCTGACCCCTTTGAATATTTGCGTCTCATCTCCAATGAAAACAATCATGTTGCTCTCATGCTGTTCTCAACCAGAATCAAACATATATCGTACCTGAGATTTGTTAGCATGTTCCACACAACCCAACATTTATCGGCACCGGGATTAAGGGTGTATATCTTTGTTTCTAACGCTTATTGGGAATACGCCACGGAAACTACAATAAAAACTTATTTACAAAAACATTCTAAAGAGGGAAAACTGACATATTTCAAGCTTTACTGTATTTAAAGAAATAATTTAAATCAGCCGGCTGAAACCCCGTCTCCGCTATTTGTTCAGTCATTCTTTAGGTATAGTGCCAGTTTCCACCGACAATGATATTGCAAACAAGTGTCCAATCTATAAAAGCATACATTCCTACAAAATGTTTCTTTAGTCAAGTGAAACAATTAATTCATAACTATGCGAGGGTGTGGTGAGTCAATTTCGTGGTAACAAGTGTGAATAGGCTAATGTGACATAGAACAAGGTCACATTGATGTTGACAAATACGTAAGACGATATGAACATCAACTAAAAAGATATGTAATGTGATTCAGCTGCAAGGTGATATATGCATATATGCAGCATAGATAATTAAAACTTCTATTCAAGTTAAACCAACTGTATCTATTTATTTAAGTCTTACGTCGAGCTGAATACATTTTATGATTTAGTTTCATCTATTGGTGGTTAACAGTGTGTAACTAAAAACTAAAATTGGATCTTATTATTGCCAATGATATAATGTACATGTAATAGCAAGTGTATATATATTTTTTGTTCAGTCTGTACACAGTAACATATCTGAGAACCATATTATTATCATTTCTGCCCAAGGCTCCCTGTGCCTTATAGTTAGCAGTGATACAAGGCAATTACCAATTTTCCATGTTCTTGGCCTGAAGAAATAAAATGATAAAAGTCAAGTTTTTATTATTATGCAAGTGGAAAAATACAATTATTCATAGTATGATTTGAATAAATACAACTGATTTGAAGTTGGAATTATTATTTGTCTAAGATGACTGGGCATTTACAAATTGAAATAGCTATTCTTCATCAAGAAAATACATGAATATTTTTCCCAATTCACCTGGATTTTATTGTAGGTCTTTGTACGTGAAATAGCTTTATTTAACGTCCGCTACCACCGAAGTGATATTGCAGAAAATTAACAAATTCGGATTCCCTTTTAAAGGAAATTGACTGCACTATCGCTGGATTGTATTATATAGGTCATGTCAGTTTTTTTCAAAATGGCGCCCAGAACACAAAACAAACATTATAATTCAGGGCTGACTGGTGTCGAGGCTGTATCCTAAGAATGATTTTTTGAATATTTAATCACACAGAAACACAAGTATGCACATGCAGTTATGATATAATATTAAATTAGCTTACCTCAAATACCTCGAAATATACTGTTTGGTCAGTTTGTCCGCCCGCCATATTTCTATTAGTCACACATCCTTCGGCCAATTAAAATGGACGTATATTTTGTTTTAACCGATAGGAAAAATTTGCGTTATAAATAGTAAACGAGCTTGATTGACCGACCACTGCTAATGTTTTTTCGTGAAACGGTATAACTGCAATCAACACACGGCCGCCATTCTCGATGATTGACAACTCACGTTTTTCCTCATCCACCAAAGAACCGTTAGGTTTCTTTGAACATACTGTAATAACATTGGGATTATCAGTTAATCAGCTTTAATTATCCCGCTTTGATCGTTGCCATTTCTTATATTTTCCACAAAAAAACTTTGCCTTGTACGCACTAATTTATCAATTGGTATTGCCATCTACGACAAGCATGTCAACGTGCAGCTCACGGATTATCGTTAACAATTTCTAGGGGCTTGTAAAAAAAAGATTGCATGTCGTGTAAATATTTATTTTGTTTTTTGTGTAGGTCATTTTCAAATAAATTCATCAGCATATTATTCGTTTTAAATAAATATAAAAATTTTATGAGAAACGATGATTATCAAAGAACCGTAAGTGCAACTAATGTTTTATCGTTTGGTTGAGCCTTTTACTAACCACGTGTTTCATGTTAATAAATATTTTCTTTCGTGTTTTGTTTGAATTGGCCTATTTCTAATAAATTATCCCGAGTCCCAAACGTCGTTAACCCGAGTCCCAAATGACGTATACCAAAGTCCCAAACGTCGTATACCGGAGTCCCAAATGTCGTGGTCATATTTTTTTGAGTCCCAAATGACGCGAGTCCCAAATGACGTGAGTCCCAAATGACATGTAATCAACCTAGAGTTGTTGTTAGTGTTTGTCGGATAGATCCTTTATACTTACTGGCGCTAGGTAATTTCGAGGCTAATATTGTTCAATTTTATTTGAATGATTTGCTTGCGCGTACCGTAGGAGTGTATTAGAAACAGTGTTTGCGCAGGTTCGAGAACGGCTGAAGAACATGAAAACACTTTCATGAGTCTCGAACATGAGAGAACGGTATCCATGGTAACAAGATGAATTAAATTTATACAATCTGTTACGATAACTTGTTTAGTATTTACTTCGCTATTAAGCATAATTTTGATAAATTATGACACCGTTTTACTCCTTTTCAATTCTTTGGATGACGATTACATCACCTTTTGTTACGCCCTCGTCCGTAGGTTTGTCCGTCGTCTACAGAACTGATTATTTTGAAATTGATATGTTGTTTATTTTAATGAGATGAATCCTATTTAATTTCAATAATTTCTGTTAGTTTCTTCTGGAGTTATGGCCCTTGTTTCACTTTGTGAAATTCATTTGAATCTTTTAAATTAGTGAAACGAAGACGTCTATTAAATTTCTGCGATTTCTATGAATTATGTCTAGAGTTGTGGCCCTTGTTTCACTTTTTCGAACCTTGTGAACGCACGAACAACAAAATTATCATCCGATTTGTATGAAAATTGTATGCATTATTTAAATTAGTAAAACACAAAACAAAAAAATCTGTCAAATTTCAACAATTAAGGCCCTTGTTTCAGTTTGTAGAACCTTTGTAAACCCACAAAGGACGAAAATTATAATCTTGTATGAAATTTTCTTGTAAATGCCCACATTACCTACAAAAGAATGAATATGCGACAATCCCTGTTGACTGCGCAAACGATTAAACTGCTGTGGGCATATGTTTCGTTGCCTGGCAACCTAACATGCTCCGACTGCACCTCCACCAATTATAACAGCATCTAGAAATTATATAGGTCAACTATATCATTAAACCATCAACACGATATACCATGCTAAATATATTTGATTGTTCGGTACAATGCATACTGAAAGCAAATCAACTCAAACCTATGAAATATTGACATGGATTCTGGTTTAACGGCCTACTTGTCTTCAACAACTGGGCTAATTTAAGACGGACGGCTATGGAGTATCGCATAGGAAAAGATTATATATATAAGCAATATTTCTATTCAGATTTGTATCTGAATAGGGGTTGGGGAACAGGCATAGCCTATATCAAACCCTTCTCCCCAATAACTGCCTTTGTTACGCCAATTGAAGACTTTAGCGTAACGTCACCTATAACATCCTGATTCTACATTAAACTGCACCCTGGATAATCTCGTCTATATTTACAATGCCAGTAATTAGAATACAATGCTTCCATTCTACTCTTTATAACACGATTATAACAGTTTCAAATACTCCATACTTTTCGAACGTCACATATACTATTCAAAAAAAGTAGGGGATATTTGATTTTGGGGGCATAATACTAAAATATGCAAATGACTACGAAAAAAGTCACTATAGAACCTAACAGAAGAAACATTTCCAGTTACATGTGACGCCCAAACGCACCAATAGCTACCGCATGGAATGCAGGTGATGCTTGGGATCATCATGGGGGTCCAACCCAAGATTTGCACGACTCTGACTTTGAATGTTACAGTCATTGTGGCATTGAATTCCAGGGTGGAAACATCAGTTTAATTGTTTTAGTGACCAGAAAACAAATTTTGATATGCGTCGGCTTACCCAAAATGAAAGGTTACGTGCCCTTGGCATGCTACAGATCGGCACAACACAGGCGGTTGTGGCGCGGACGATGAATGTTTCTCAGTCTGTCATAAGCAGGCTATGGTCCAGATACCGTGATACACAATCTGTACAGGACAGACCACGCTCAGGTCGACCAAGGGCGACAACTCAAGCCCAGGATCGATTTATCCGTACCTTGG